TGGCTCCGAGTTTAAACCACTACAGAGAGAGAGACAGAGAGAGACAGACAGAGAGAGTGAGAGAGACAGAGATAGAGACAGACAGAGAGAGCGAGAGAGAGAGAGAGAGAGAGAACGAGAGAGAGACAGAGACAGAGAGCGAGAGAGACAGAGAGAGAGAGCGAGAGAGACAGAGAGAGCGAGAGAGAGACAGAGAGAGACAGAGAGAGACAGAGAGAGCGAGAGAGAGACAGAGACAGAGAGCGAGAGAGACAGAGAGCGAGAGAGACAGAGAGAAAGAGCGAGAGAGAGACAGAGACAGAGAGCGAGAGAGACAGAGAGAGAGAGCGAGAGAGACAGAGAGAGACGAGAGAGAGACAGAGAGAGACAGAGAGAGCGAGAGAGAGACAGAGAGAGAGAACGAGAGAGACAGAGAGAGAGCGAGAGAGAGACAGAGAGAGACAGAGAGAGACAGAGAGAGACAGAGAGAGAAACAGAGAGAGAGAGAATACAAATTAAAAAAAACACACAATGATATTTTCATCCGCTGCAAGTGCTGCGAACAAAGAGGCTGAATGTTTGTTTACCGCTGAGCACACAATGCACTGATTCACCGCAACAATAACGGTTACTCAGCGCTGCAGAAATAAACCACAGCTTTTGTGGTTTCAAATTAAAACCGGCATTATGTTCATTCAGTGTTTTATGAAGGCTTCGAGTGAAGAGCTTTTTCTGTGGAAAGTGTGCACACGCAACAATAACAACACGTACTTCTGAGTAATAATGGAAGTAGGTTAGTGTACAGGGAGGCTTTAAAATAGGACACGAGGACATCCAAACGCGGCTTTACAGTAAAGAGCTTATTTCAACTAGTTTGAGAGTAGGATGAAGCATCCTATAAACTCAACTTTAGTGTGGTTCAAATCGTAAGAGCTTAAGGCAGGGGTTGTTAAGCAAATACGTCAAAGCTTGAATACATTTGGTGGCTAAATAAGTCTTACTTTCATTTGTACTATTATTACTTTCGCTTTGTCTCATATCTATGTTTGTGATAAACCTACTATTTTAAACTAATGTGTGACTGAAAAATGTAATATTTTAGGACCATCTAGTAGTTACGGTTAGATTAGTTTCAGGATATTTGCTTAGCGTTAGGTGGTTTTTGGGCATTGTTGTGTATAGTACTAACTCTCCAAATTCTAGGTGTGTTAGTCCTATATTTCGTAAGTAGTACACTACAGTAGTAAGAGTGCGGATAGCTTTTAGGGGTCCCATTCCAAATGTCCCCATAATGTCTTGTGATTTTACTTCAATGTAATGACTTGAAAACATTTGAGTATTACCAGGAGCAGCAGCAGCAGGAGGGGAGACAGGATGAGAGCAGTGAAGGCGTTGGAAACCATCGTGGGAGGCTTCTTCTCTGGTTCTCTGAACAAATGCTGCAGGAGGAGACAAGAGGAGACAAGATGAGACAGGAGGAGACAAGAGGAGACAGGAGGAGACAAGATGAGACAGGAGGAGACAAGAAGAGACAAGATGAGACAAGAAGAGACAAGATGAGACAAGAAGAGACAAGGTGAGACAAGAAGAGACAAGAAGAGACAAGAAGAGACAAGAAGAGACAAGAAGAGACAAGGTGAGACAAGATGAGACAAGATGAGACAAGATGAGACAAGGTGAGACAAGAAGAGACAAGAAGAGACAAGATGAGACAAGAAGAGACAAGAAGAGACAAGAAGAGACAAGGTGAGACAAGAAGAGACAGGAGGAGACAAGAGGAGACAAGAAGAGACAAGAGGAGACAAGAGGAGACAGGAGGAGACAGGAGGAGACAGGAGGAGACAGGAGGAGACAGGATGAGACAGGAGGAGACAAGAAGAGACAAGATGAGACAAGAAGAGACAAGAAGAGACAAGAAGAGACAAGAAGAGACAAGAAGAGACAAGGTGAGACAAGGTGAGACAAGATGAGACAAGATGAGACAAGATGAGACAAGGTGAGACAAGAAGAGACAAGAAGAGACAAGATGAGACAAGAAGAGACAAGAGGAGACAAGAGGAGACAAGAGGAGACAAGATGAGACAAGAGGAGACAAGAGGAGACAAGAGGAGACAAGAGGAGACAAGAGGAGACAAGAGGAGACAAGAGGAGACAAGAGGAGACAAGAGGAGACAAGAGGAGACAAGAGGAGACAAGAGGAGACAAGAGGAGACAAGAGGAGACAGGATGAGACAGGAGGAGACAAGAGGAGACAAGATGAGACAGGAGGAGACAAGATGAGACAAGGTGAGACAAGAGGAAACAAGATGAGACAGGAGGAGACAAGAGGAGACAGGATGAGACAGGATGAGACAAGAGGAAACAAGAGGAGACAAGAGGAGACAAGAGGAGACAAGAGGAGACAAGAGGAGACAGGATGAGACAAGAAGAGACAAGAGGAAACAGGAGGAGACAAGATGAGACAAGATGAGACAAGAGGAAACAGGAGGAGACAGGAGGAGACAGGAGGAAACAGGAGGAGGCAAGAGGAGACAGGAGGAGACAAGAGGAAACAAGAGGAGACAAGAGGAGACAAGAGGAGACAGAGGAGACAAGAGGAGACAAGAGGAGACAGGAGGAGATTTTAAATGGCTGTTGTGCATGCGGCTTGATTTCCCATCCTCAGGCAGTGAAGCTGATTTAATAAGGAGCACTGAAGTGTTACCTGGATCTCTGGTTTGGGCACATAGAGAGTTTTGGGCTGAATGGCCACTGGAGCTTCCTCGTCCAGAAACTTCAGAACAACATCAGCCTTGAGAGAAGGATAACAACTTTAGAAATCAATATTACCTTCAGTAAATAATCCTCACTACCACGTCTGAGTCTGACGGGACGCTCACCACGTTCCACAGGATGGGATTCTCCAAGGTAGCGTCCCCGACGATGAGGTGGAGGGAGTAGGTGCCGGACATGGAGTCGAACTCAGATTTGCGCTCTGCCATGTCCAACTCGAACTTGTACAGTTTCTTGCTGTCGGGCTCGGCCACGAACACAACCTCCTGACCCGTTTTCTGATTTTGCAGGCGGACAAAAGTCTGTGAACGAGACGAAAAGAAATGGATATAAAAGTCTGGGGTAGGCAAAAGCAAAGAGTTGTGTTCAAATGCATCATACATGGAAATGATTTGCTCAAATAAAACACAACGAACTTAGTAGAAACACATTTTTGAGTGCGACCATTTTGTGCCGGGTATCAGGTGTAATCAACATACACAAGTTCTCAAATAATAGATCAGAGGACAAAAATACTCCATCTCTCAATATGACGGGAGATGGAGATAGCAACAAGTACCTAATCTAAGTATTTATATGCCGTTAGTATCCGATTAATGTTCTGAGACATGGACTTTTATATAAAGTGTGACCGCATACTTGTCTGTAATTGAGTAAGACTACGTTTATCAGGCTTCGTGGCTAAGGTGCGTTTCACTTCTCTTATTTTTCATTTCCTCGCTCCTCGGGCTCGGTCTCACCGGAAGTTGATTTGTCTGCGCCATCTTGAGTAGCGTCCCAGTGGCCTTATTTCTGCCGGAGGACCAAGGAAGGATAACGGAGGAGTGATAATCGAGGAACTACCAGACCATCCTCCTGCGAAATCCTCAGACACTCGCCCCCGCCCCCTCGCTCACTGATTGGACGATGCGGCGCATGCACTGATCTGGCTGCTGTCAGACGATCAGCTGTGCGGCGTCATCAGTAACGGACGTGGCTTCACGTGACGCTCCGGCGGAAACGGACGTCCCATTGCTCTTAAAACTAATTTCCCTGCTTCTCGTGGTTTCCTCGCGTCTCTCCACGCTTCCCTGGTGGGAGGGACTAGTCGCAAGGAAACGACGCAAGTGAAGGATGCAAGGGAACCCATTTAACCGAAGTGAAACGCAGCCTAAGAAACATCTTTACCGATCCACCGTAGGGAAACCCAGGTGATTGAGCAGCACAATTAATAAGATGGAATAAGGGGTAGGACAGGTACGAGTTCACACAAGGATAAATACGAATTTAGACGACAGATGCAGTTAGGAGAAGGTGAGATATACGATGTGTTCATGTCAGATCCTGTGACCTAAGATTTTCATTGTTATATCTACACTGTAGCCAGGTACAAATGACAATAATACCTGGTGGGGGGTCAGCTCCACTCCAGTGTTCACGTCCACCAGCTGGAAGGCCATGGCAAAGTTCTGGTGGCTGTCTGCGGTGAAGGAGACCTTAGCTTTGGAAGGATAGTCCACCCTGAGTTTAAACAAGAAAAGCATTTAGTATTCTATTGTTACTAACGCTCAGAGAAGTAAAAGGCTTCACTTATCAAAACATGTTCCCGCACCTGACGGTCTTTGTGCCGATGCTCTGGTCCTTATCCACCACAGAGAGGTCCATGCTGGTGACGGACACCTCGGTGGACACCTTCACTTTGAGCTGCAGGTGGACAGAGAGTCAGAGACACAGCAATTAAAACCCAATACTCAGACAAAGACATTCATATTCAAATTGACCACCAACAAGGGCAGGCAACCTCTGACTCTGACTCAGCTAAAGCACCCCATTTTAATTGCATCCCTTCCTCCAAAAGACACTCGGAAAAGGTATGACTACATGCATTAAAACGGGCTGGTCCATTTCTACTTCAGTGTTCAAAGTTTAAATGTTATGTCCTTCATTCAGACCGCCCCCTCACCTCAACATGATTGGCCACAAGCCGGCTGTCCCCGGTCACTGCGACAGTGAACTGGTAATACCCACTGGCTGGCTGGGTGGACATGAAGTTCAGTTCAAAGACGCCGCTGAAAATAGGAAAGAAATATAAATAAGTGAACTTTCTACCAAAAACAATGCAGTACTTCTGAAGAAATGCCTTCAAAATCTTCATAATAAATGTAATACACATACGATAGGGCAGCAAATGTTGGGAACAAATATAATGTAATTGTGATACTATTCACGATATTGTAGGGATTGATTCGTTTTAATTCATAATTATTACTATCCTTGATAATTATATTGAATGATTAAGGTTTGATGTCTTTAAGAGGATCTGTATCCAACACAATAGCTTCTTATAAGTCTGCAGACAATTATTTGTAGACCCAGATATCTCTACTTCATTCATAATGATATTTTAACACATATTTACCCTTTAACAAATATCATGTCTTTAGAACTAGTCCCATTGAGAGGCGAAGTCCCTCCCTTTCCGGGGGAGCTCCATGGGACCTCATTTCGGAAAAATCATGTATTGAAGTCAATGGAGAGAGAAAGATTACCTTTCGATCCCGTTTGAATTCTGCCACGAATTACACATATGATGTTCGTCAATTTAAAAGATCATTTTGCAAGTGAACAAAAGTTAAAATGTGTCGTGAAGTAACACTTTTTTTGTGTGAACACACCAAGACGGCCGTCACGTTGAAACATTTCACTTCTTTCTTTCAGAACGAGGTGGAAAGTATTAAACGAGGAGAAAATCACTACAAGTCTGGGCGTGTTGAGAGCTGTGCACACACACAAGGGGAGTTAGTCGGTTCCGTAAGAGCCAGCATGCGGGACCGGGACTCTGGGATTTGTAGTCTTTCTAGTTGCGTATTTTTCATAGTCTTATATTTCAACAGTTTTACGACAAACTGACTTTTTTGACATGGAAATTATTTTTTAAATTGACAAACATCATATGTGTAATTCGTGGCACAATTCAAACGGGATCGAAAGATAATCGGTCTCTCTCCATGGACTTCAATACATACATTTTCAGAAATAAGGTCCCATGGGGCGAGGTAGATGGGCGGGACTTCGCCACTCTATTGCGATTTCTATAACATTTTGAATAATTGTGGATCCCTAAAATATGCTTTAATTGAAAATGTGCGTTGTTATTAATTGTATTAGGTTATAAAAAGCTTGGATCATTTTCACGTAGAGAGGAACCAGGCATCATATGTAACAAAGCTAACCCTCATCATGATACGTACTCGTTGAGTGTGAAAGCAGCCTGGCTGAGGATGATGCTCTTGGAGGCCACAGCGTACGCAGACTCCACCAGCACGTTGGCGGCGGTCAGAGGCTGAGACATGATGTCAGTGACGAGGAGCTGAGAATCAGAGGAACAGCGTCACTGTGAGCGCATTTAAATGAATAAAAACCACACAGGTATTGTTAGCAGAGTGAAGCTCGACGTTCTGATAGCACCCTAAAACGATCAAGTGTTGCGGAGGAAAAGAAAGCGTCTGAAACAGCAGTACTTCGTTCAACAGGGAGCTCACATTGGAGGCGTGGCTTTAACCTGTAATTGGCTGTCAGTCATGCACAACAAAACTGTATCTGGGTTTAGTTCCCACATGCGTACCTGCAGGGTGGGCTGGCTGTGGGACACGGTGGCCGGGCCCTGAGCGCTGACGATGACCGGCACGTGGAAGCGGTTGTTGGAGAGAGCGGCGGCGGCGCTGGCCACGCTGAATGCCTCGGAGAGAGAGTCCCAGGACTTCTTACCGAAGATGGAGTTCACCAGCTGGATCACCTGGTCCTGAGGGGGGAACACATCGTCCGTTAGGGTCAGAGAGAAGCCATCGCAGAGATACGCCTGTGACGATATCTATACTACTGTTGGTGCGATGTGTGGACATGACATCGACCATTTGTATGCTCTCAAATCATCGCTGAGCTCGGGGGGGGAACAGGGGGTTTAGGAAGACTGAGAGTGAAGAGCTTGTTAAAAATGAACAAGCCAGTATTTTGACTTTGTTTCAAAAAAGGCAAAACCAAAAGTGGATATCCAACTTGAAACTAATCTATTTGTACTTTTCACTTTCTTTAAAGATCTCATGTCATGCTTTTCTGGTTAGTACCCGTCCCCTTGTGTTATGAAGGTTTTTCTGCATGTAAACGGTCTGCGAGTCAAAACCCTCAAAGTACACCCTGTAGCGAGTAAAACTCTAACACAGAGAAGACCTCCCCAAAACGCCTCGTTGGTGAAACGTCATCATCCATTTGATTCTTCTGGGTACGAGATTACGTAAGCACGTACCCGGAACTAAATGGACCAATCCGTGGAGCTGTTACGTTAAGCCCCCGCTGATTGGTCCAAATTGACCAATCCACGGACTTCCTCACACACTCAGTGCAGGCAGCTCTGCTGATCTCTCCTCCCTGGCTGCAGGCTGATAACAGACAGTTGGGATTGTGGCGAAATTCTCTCTGCAGACCCGTTCTCTCTGCAGACCCGTTCTCTCTGCAGACCCGTTCTCTCTGCAGACCCGTTCTCTCTGCAGACCCGTTCTCTCTGCAGACCCATTCTCTCTGCAGACCCATTCTCTCTGCAGACCCGTTCTCTCTGCAGACCCATTCTCTCTGCAGACCCATTCTCTCTACAGACCCGTTCTCTCTGCAGACCCGTTCTCTCTGCAGACCCATTCTCTCTACAGACCCGTTCTCTCTGCAGACCCGTTCTCTCTGCAGACCCATTCTCTCTGCAGACCCATTCTCTCTGCAGACCCGTTCTCTCTGCAGACCCATTCTCTCTGCAGACCCATTCTCTCTGCAGACCCGTTCTCTCTGCAGACCCGTTCTCTCTGCAGACCCGTTCTCTCTGCAGACCCATTCTCTCTGCAGACCCATTCTCTCTGCAGACCCATTCTCTCTACAGACCCATTCTCTCTGCAGACCCATTCTCTCTGCAGACCCATTCTCTCTGCAGACCCATTCTCTCTACAGACCCATTCTCTCTGCAGACCCATTCTCTCTGCAGACCCGTTCTCTCTGCAGACCCGTTCTCTCTGCAGACCCATTCTCTCTACAGACCCGTTCTCTCTGCAGACCCGTTCTCTCTGCAGACCCATTCTCTCTGCAGACCCATTCTCTCTGCAGACCCCGTTCTCTCTACAGACCCATTCTCACTGCAGACCCATTCTCTCTGCAGACCCATTCTCTCTACAGACCCGTTCTCTCTGCAGACCCGTTCTCTCTGCAGACCCATTCTCTCTGCAGACCCATTCTCTCTACAGACCCATTCTCTCTGCAGACCCATTCTCTCTGCAGACCCATTCTCTCTGCAGACCCATTCTCTCTGCAGACCATTCTCTCTACAGACCCATTCTCTCTGCAGACCCATTCTCTCTGCAGACCCATTCTCTCTGCAGACCCATTCTCTCTACAGACCCATTCTCTCCGCAGACCCATTCTCTCTGCAGACCCATTCTCTCTGCAGACCCGTTCTCTCTGCAGACCCATTCTCTCTACAGACCCATTCTCTCTGCAGACCCATTCTCTCTGCAGACCCGTTCTCTCTGCAGACCCATTCTCTCTGCAGACCCGTTCTCTCTGCAGACCCATTCTCTCTGCAGACCCGTTCTCACAGCGTTTATCAACCTTTTTCTTTCTCAATATCAAGCCACACTTATTGTTTTTACTTCGGCTGTGACTTTGTGTGTGCTCATGGTGAGTTTGGCTGTGTATCGCTAAACAAGGAAACAACACCTCCACGGAGCTCAGCGCGATTCACAATATTTGGAAAATTGCACAATTTAAATCTATTCTAGTCGACCTCAACAATGGAATTATGATCAGTGGAAATGGCCGTGACATGGGACCTTTAAAATAAACACCACTGCACTTAAGTCACTTTGGATAATGCTAACCACGGAGAAACTGGATTGAAGGAATAAACGACAATACTCCTGTACCAAAGGTTGATCGGTTTAACTTCATTAATAAATGGTCTTTTCTCAGTCTTTTTATATTGTTTGTATATTCTTAAGATTCAAAAGTGAATATCTCTTTGAAAGGGTGTACTTGTATTTAATGATCACTATACCAGGGGCATTTCTGGTCTTAAAATAACCGAATATCGTCGATCTTAATTATGTATGGGATATTCTGTTGCCCACAGAACAGCTTATCCTGACATGCCTCCACAGAGCGGACCGTACCTCCTTCAGTGGAGGCTCCATGTCCACGTGATCAGAGAGGGAATAAGCAGCGGCCACAAACATGGCGGTCGCCTCGAGTCCCTCTTCGAACTGCAGGTAGATGCCTCCAAGATCATCCAAGCGAGCGGTCAGATCCTGGGAGGAAAACAGGAAATAATACGTTTCATTTATTCAAAGCAATACATTCATCTGTGTGCATCATTTAGAGTCCATTGTGTCTGTCGCTAAGTCAAGACACGCAGACAGGACGACAACATAAAATGCACCATAATAACTAACTCACCGTAACTTTTTCTATTGTTCTGTGTTTTCCCTACTTTTAAATGAATGCTATAGTTCATGTTCAAAAAGGATATTGTTTTAATGGAAAGAAAACATTTTTGCTTTTGTTCAAAAAGGTTTATGAATGTTTATGTCTAGATGTCACAACAGTACAGAGGTGTGTCCATACTGTATGTCATTATGGTCATACTAATAAAGCTATTTGAATTGAACTGATAAAAACAAACTCACCTCGATTTCCTCCAGGATTCCTCCGAGCTCTGCGTCCTGGGACAGACGCGCCGCCGTTAGCAGAGCCGAAGTGATTCTGTCCGGAGAGAAGGTACGTTAGTTGTTAATGAGACTTGCCTATAAGCACTGTAAGAATGACAGAACGGTGATGCTCTCTACTTACGCCATGACGTTGTCCTCCTTGTTGATGCGGCCGGTCAGAGCTCCCACTACTTCCTGTGAGGTCAGAGGAAGGCCCAGAGAGCTGATGGCGCTCACCGCTCTGTGGATCTGAGTCATGGAGGAGTCCTCACTGACGGCCGCCAGCAGGATGTCCCGCGTCTCATTGGACACGGGGATCTAAGGGAGGCAGAACCAGAAACGTGTGTTTATCCGACGGGAAATCGGGTTTCTTGACTTCGTTTTAGAGTGAAATAAATAGGAGATCAATACAGAAATAGAGTAAACATATCTATATAAAGAAAGCGACATGAAAATGTAGAATAATATAAAATACAGATAGGTATATAAACTAAAGAAGTAAGAATGTGCAATACAAATAAAGTAAATCAAATAAAGATATGTATACAAACATAAGTAATATTCCCAATGATCTCGTAAATAACTATTCAATTCGCAATTTTCTTATGTAAAGAATTATTTAAACATCTGACACTATGATGACACCATTAACACACATTTGTGATTTGTGACAAGAAGGCTTTTATCATTTGTATGTAACACATTGTCCAGCCCTTCTACACATGCAAATGACATGTAGAGCAGCAGAGAGTTCAGAGGCATGCCTACCTCACATCCGGAAATGGCTTGACTGGTCTCAGCGGCAAAGAAGAGCGAGTCGACACTAGTGGGGTCCAGCTGGGACTTGATGAACTGGCAGACTCCCTGCAAACAAAAGCACGTCATGAGTCAAACATCATGGAGGATCAAAGTGGATATTTAATACAGCATCAGAAAAAATTACTATTTGCTATCGTTGTGTCTTAAAGGTCTCCTATTATACTGTTTCTCATCAATATATTACAGGTCTCAGATATAGAGATATTTGGTTAAGGGGGGGGGGGGGTACCTTGGTTGCTGATTGGCTAATGGTTACACGAGACACAAAATCGTTATGACATCATAAAGCGTCCAAAATCTGATCAGCTCATTTTCAGACAGGTTTTTATAGAAATGGATCAAAAAGAGAGAGAATCTTTGTTCCTGAAACTTTCAGAGTCTCTTTCCACAGAGGGGACACATGTTGATGTAGAAGAGACATGAAGAAGAGGGGACACATGTTGATGTAGAAGAGACATGAAGAAGAGGGGACACATGTTGATGTGGAAGAGACATGAAGAAGAGGGGACACATGTTGATGTAGAAGAGACATGAAGAAGAGGGGACACATGTTGATGTAGAAGAGACATGAAGAAGAGGGGACACATGTTGATGTAGAAGAGACATGAAGAAGAGGGGACACATGTTGATGTAGAAGAGACATGAAGAAGAGGGGACACATGTTGATGTAGAAGAGACATGAAGAAGAGGGGACACATGTTGATGTAGAAGAGACATGAAGAAGAGGGGACACATGTTGATGTAGAAGAGACATGAAGAAGAGGGGACACATGTTGATGTAGAAGAGACATGAAGAAGAGGGGACACATGTTGATGTAGAAGAGACATGAAGAAGAGGGGACACATGTTGATGTTGAAGAGACATGAAGAAGAGGGGACACATGTTGATGTAGAAGAGACATGAGGAAGAGGGGACACATGTTGATGTAGAAGAGACATGAAGAAGAGGGGACACATGTTGATGTAGAAGAGACATGAAGAAGAGGGGACACATGTTGATGTAGAAGAGACATGAAGAAGAGGGGACACATGTTGATGTAGAAGAGACATGAAGAAGAGGGGACACATGTTGATGTAGAAGAGACATGAAGAAGAGGGGACACATGTTGATGTTGAAGAGACATGAAGAAGAGGGGACACATGTTGATGTAGAAGAGACATGAGGAAGAGGGGACACATGTTGATGTAGAAGAGACATGAAGAAGAGGGGACACATGTTGATGTTGAAGAGACATGAAGAAGAGGGGACACATGTTGATGTAGAAGAGACATGAAGAAGAGGGGACACATGTTGATGTAGAAGAGACATGAAGAAGAGGGGGACACATGTTGATGTAGAAGAGACATGGAGAAGAGGGGACAACGTGTTGATGTAGAAGAGACGTGAAGAGAGGGGACACATGTTGATGTAGAAGAGACATGAAGAAGAGGGGGACACATGGTGATGTAGAAGAGACATGAAGAAGAGGGGAACACATGTTGATGAAGAAGAGACATGGAGAAGAGGGACACATGTTGATGTAGAAGAGGACAATGGAGAAGAGGGGACACATGTGTGAGTAGAAGAGACATGAAGAAGAGGGGACACAGTTGATGTAGAAAAGACATGAAGAAGAGTGGGACACCTGTTGATGTAGAAGAGACATGAAGAAGAGGGACACATGTTGATGTAGAAGAGACATGGAGAAGAGGGGACCATGTTGATGTAGAAGAGACATGAAGAAGAGGGGACAACATGTTGATGTAGAAGAGACATGAAGAAGAGGGGACAACATGTTGATGTAGAAGAGACATGAAGAAGAGGGGACACATGTTGATGTAGAACATGAAGAGGGACCCATTAAGAAGAGACATGAAGAAGAGGGGACACATGTTGATGTAGAAGAGACATGAAGAAGAGGGGACACATGTTGATGTAGAAGAGACATGAAGAAGAGGGGACACATGTTGATGTAGAAGAGACATGAAGAAGAGGGGACACATGTTGATGTAGAAGAGACATGAAGAAGAGGGGACACATGTTGATGTAGAAGAGACATGAAGAAGAGGGGACACATGTTGATGTAGAAGAGACATGAAGAAGAGGGGACACATGTTAATGTAGAAGAGACATGAAGAAGAGGATTTTGCGTAATAGGTGACCTCTAATGGGGAGATTCTTACCTCATGATCAGGGACAGATGCTCCGAGCTTGCTCAGACCAACAACAGAGTAGTAAGCGGAGTCCAGGTCGGTGAACTGTTGGCTCAGGAGCTTCTGCAGGCGGGCCACATCGGATAGGGAGAGGTAGTGAGCCGGGGTGAGCGCCTGGGATCCAGAAAGAGCCACACTCAGGAGGGAGAACAAACCGAACAGCCCTGCGACACACGGAGGAAACAAGCAGAGGTGTGAGAATAGACAGATGTATTAGTTAAGTAAAAGTAGGAATAGTACACTGTAGAAATACTCATATGAAAGTACTGCATCAAGAATGGTACTCAAGTAAAACCAATACGTTACGATTAAGAAAATGTACTTAAAGTGTTAGTTTTAGTTACTTAAATATAATGTTGGATGGTTTCATATTTACCAAATAATCCTATTTTCAAAGTATTGTGTGTCACAATCTGAATTTACAAAAGTAACTAGTAGTGGACTGGAACTGTAAAGTAGCATAAGATGGAAACAATTAGGTTCAATCAAGTATCCCTTAAACACAGTACTTGAGTAAATGTACTTCCATACCAGATGCGGGAGAAGTACTCAATATAGTACTTGAGTAAAAGTAGAAGTAACAAAGTGTAGGAATACTCTGTTACAGTAAAAGTCCTGCATTCAAAATGTTACTCAAGTGAGTAACTAAAGGTATTACATGTAGTGGAGTAAAAGTACATGATTAACCTCTGAATTGTAGTGAAGTAGAAATACAAAGTAACATACAATATAAATACTCAAGTAAAGTACAAGTACCTCAAACGTGTCCTTAAGCACAGTACTTGAGTAAATGTACTTAGTTACATTACACCTCTGGAAACACATTAACCTGCAGGCTGGTCGAAAGGGTTTTTAATCGCTATAATTAAAACAAAGGCTTATAACATCTCAATAATGAATAACTGTAGATATGTTATCTCTTGGGATGATTTTTACTCATTCATTCATTGTGATAAAGCTCGCTTCTTCCTTGCAGGTTAAGCTAGGCTAACTAGCTAGCTCTCGTCATAAGGAAGCATGCAATACGTGTGTGATTTACACACCAATTCTTAAACCAGCAATTCAAATACAGCACATAAAATGTATATAGTCTCGAAAAACACAAGTATTTAACATTACATTCAGAATATATGCATTATTTCACTTACTAGACCGGTCCATGTCTTGCAGTCTCTAATGCAGCGTCACCAAAACCGACGACTATTTCCGGTGTCTCAGAATGAGCTGTCACTAACGGTAGAACATCCGGTTGTGCATTTAACGTTTCAAAATAAAAGCCGAGCTAAGTACACGTCGAATAAGTGCAGCCTGTCTGGCGTTTTTTAAATGTATATAATGGTATTATATTTATTATCAGGGAGGTTACACATTGTTTTAATTGTGTTCACTTAGTTACATGAAACATATGTAATCAGGTTGATTGGAATTACTAGCAGGATTACAATATTAGTAAAAGAGCATATAGTGATTTATATTTATCACTTTATTCTTTTAGTTTTTAGTAAATCTTTGTTTTCAAGATTAGTTTTTATGATTGTATAATCTGTATTATATTATTATTTATTATTATTTTATTTTTTAATGTTCTTATTATAATTATTTTAATTAATTAATTGCTATTTTATTTACTCTTATTTACTTTGTGAATACTTTTTTATTTGCTACTATTTAAATATTTATTTATTTAATATAATTTACTAACATTTTCATTATTTATTTCCTTTTTTATTTCACATTATTCATTTCACTATTTTATTCGCTATTATCTATGATCTATTTACTATTTTATTATTTATCGCTTTTGCGCTGCACACTCCGAAGCAGCAGTGGGCGCTGACGTCACACTATGACTGTTAAATGATCACATGACACAACACGGAACCTCTCCCCCCTGGATGTCAGTCATGAGATTGTAGTGTTTCATTAGAGAGTTTGTAATGCAATGACTAGTTTAGAAACATCTCCGAGGTGTTGCATCTGAGCGCCATGTCTGACATCTGGACCCAGAGGATCCTCTCTTTCTCCCGCAGCCCGTCCCGGTTCCTCTCCGGTACAACAGCGGAGGGTTTCCTCGCTGAGCTGCTCCGGGAGCTCCGGGATGACAGAGCCACTTACAGCCTCAAGGTAAACAAACAGTGCGATAGACGGTAACGGGTGAAATGTTAAAGGTCACCTATTATGCAAAATCCACTTTTTCACGTCTTTTATACATCACCATGTGTCCCCTCTTCTCCATGTCTCTTCTACATCAACATGTGTCCCCTCTTCTTCATGTCTCTTCTACATCAACATGTGTCCCCTCTTCTTCATGTCTCTTCTACATCACCATGTGTCCCCTCTTCTCCATGTCTCTTCTACATCAACATGTGTCCCCTCTTCTCCATGTCTCTTCTACATCACCATGTGTCCCCTCTTCTACATGTCTCTTCTACATCAACATGTGTCCCCTCTTCTCCATGTCTCTTCTACATCAACATGTGTCCCCTCTTCTCCATGTCTCTTCTACATCAACATGTGTCCCCTCTTCTCCATGTCTCTTCTACATCAACATGTGTCCCCTCTTCTCCATGTCTCTTCTACATCAACATGTGTCCCCTCTTCTTCATGTCTCTTCTACATCAACATGTGTCCCCTCTTCTCCATGTCTCTTCTACATCAACATGTGTCCCCTCTTCTCCATGTCTCTCTACATCAACATGTGTCCCTCTTCTTCATGTCTCTTCTACATCAACATGTGTCCCCTCTTCTTCACGTCAACATGTGTCCCCTCTTCTTCATGTCTCTTCTACATCAACATGTGTCCCCTCTTCTACATGTCTCTTCTACATCAACATGGTCCCCTCTTCTCCATGTCTCTTCACATCACCATGGTCCCCTCTTCTACGTGTCTCTTCTACATCAACATGTGTCCCCTCTTCTACATGTCTCTTCTACATCAACATGTGTCCCCCTTTCTCATGTCTTTCTACATCAACATGTGTCCCCTCTTTTCATGTCTTCTACATCAACATGTGTCCCCTCTTCTTCATGTCTCTTCTACATCAACATGTGTCCCCTTTTCATGTCTCTTCTACATCAACATTGTCCCCTTCTTCATGTCTCTTCTACATCAACATTGTCCCCTCTTTTCATGTCTCTTCTACATCACCATGGTCCCTCTTCTTCATGTCTCTTCTACATCAACATGTGTCCCCTCTTCTTCATGTCTCTTCTACATCAACATGTGTCCCCTCTTCTTCATGTCTCTTCTACATCAACATGTGTCCCCTCTTCTTCATGTCTCTTCTTACATCAACATGTGTCCCCTCTTCTTCATGTTCTTTTACATCAACATGTGTCCCCTCTTCTTCATGTCCTCTTCTACATCAACATGTGTCCCCTCTTCTCCATGTCTCTTCTACATCAACATGTGTCCCCTCTTCTTCATGTCTCTTCTACATCAACATGTGTCCCCTCTTCTTCCATGTCTCTTCTTCACGTCAACATGTGTCCCCCTCTTCCCATGGTCTCCTCTACATCAACATGTGTCCCCCTCTTCTCCATGTCTCTTCTACATCAACATGTGTCCCCTCTCTTCCATGTCTCTTCTACATCAACATGTGTCCCCCTCTTCTTCATGTCTCTTCTACATCAACATGTGTCCCCTCTTCTTACATCAACATGTGTCCCCTCTTCTTCATGTCTCTTCTACATCAACATGTGTCCCCTCTTCTTCATGTCTCTTCTACATCAACATGTGTCCCCTCTTCTCCATGTCTCTTCTACATCAACATGTGTCCCCTCTTCTTCATGTCTCTTCTACATCAACATGTGTCCCCTCTTCTTCATGTCTCTTCTACATCAACATGTGTCCCCTCTTCTTCATGTCTCTTCTACATCAACATGTGTCCCCTCTTCTCCATGTCTCTTCTACATCAACATGTGTCCCCTCTTCTTCATGTCTCTTCTACATCAACATGTGTCCCCTCTTTCTCCATGTCTCTTCTACATCAACATGTGTCCCCTCTTCTTCATGTCTCTTCTACATCAACATGTGTCCCCTCTTCTCCATGTCTCTTCTACATCAACATGTGTCCCCTCTTCTTCATGTCTCTTCTACATCAACATGTGTCCACTCTTCTCCATGTCTCTTCTACATCAACATGTGTCCCCTCTTCTTCATGTCTCTTCTACATCAACATGTGTCCCCTCTTCTTCACGTCAACATGTGTCCCCTCTTCTTCATGTCTCTTCTACATCAACATGTGTCCCCTCTTCTTCATGTCTCTTCTACATCAACATGTGTCCCCTCTTCTTCATGTCTCTTCTACATCAACATGTGTCCCCTCTTCTTCATGTCTCTTCTACATCAACATGTGTCCCCTCTTCTTCATGTCTCTTCTACATCAACATGTGTCCCCTCTTCTTCATTTCTCTTCTACATCAACATGTGTCCCCTCTTCTTCATGTCTCCTCTACATCAACATGTGTCCCCTCTGTGGAAAGAGACTCTGAAAGTTTCAGGAACAAAGATTCTCTCTCTTTTTGATCCATTTCTATAAAAACCTGTCTGAAAATGAGCTGATCAGATTTTGGCCACTTTATGATGTCATAACGGTTTTGTTGGCTTGTGTCCTGCCCGGCCTTTTATAGAGAGAACCGATCACACTATTAAGAGTGAATATCGGTGGCCGATCGATCGGAGCATCCCTAGTTCTTTGTAACCAAATCTCTCTCAGAGGGGCGTGGGGAGGGGCTCCTTATTTTCATCTAAAGTAACAGACAGAGAATCAGCACTTTGGAAACAGGGCTGAAACAGAGGGGATTATGGGTAATGCTACAATGATCTGTTTGGTGTTTCAGCCAATCAGAGACATGTTCTGTATATATCTGAGACCTGTAATATATTGATGAGAAACAGTATAATAGGGTATGGAGGACGGAACATGACATAAGTATAAATACATGTGTAAATAAATGTATGAAGAAATACTGGAATAAATAAATAAATAAATACAGGAATAAATACATAAATAAATAAATGAGGAAATAAATACACAAATAAATAAATGTGGAAATAAATACACAAATAAATAAATAAAAGAATAAATGCATAAATAAATATGGAAATAAATACTTGAATGTATAAATACAAGTCGAAAATAAAACAGAACACACGTTATTATATATCTTTAATATATTTCTACATTTACGGTCACTTACATTTATTTATGTATTTCTGTGTCCGTATGCTAATTAGGTGGGCGGTCCTAACCTCAGTCTGAAGCATGATTGGTTACAGGAGTGTGATCATTTCTGACAGATTGGGTTTAGCAGAAGTGGCATGATTTTGTTCTCAGGAGGAGAATTTGAGAGAGTATTACCCAAAAAGTACACAGTAAAAGTACTTCATTTTATTGTTGGTAGCAGTCAAACTAGGACTGACTCCAACAGTGTCCGTTTTATTAAGAACTTATGGTAAAAATTATTTGTATCGCTCTGAAAAAGAAAGCAGAAAAAACATGCATTATTTTACTCTTGTACTCGCGATTACCGTAAAGGCGTGATAAATCGTGCACTCAAAAATGAAGAGCTGCTGATTTGACCAAGCAAACGCGAGAGACGGCTGAGGTGACCGCAGTAACGAACGTGTGCTTCAATAACATTTGGGGGCAAGTCCTCTATACATCGTTCCACACAAAACTGGACATAGTCTTTTGGTTCTCCATTCTCTAAACGGTCCGCTAATGATCTCCAATGGCTCTTAAACCAATAACCATAAATAAACCTGAGTACATTTGAATTGTCAACAATTACAACTGTGGATAAACCATGGATGTATAAAGATAAGGGCTAAACAGTAATGCTCCTCCTGCATTCGAATCAGCGCTGTTAGACAGGCGTTAGAAGTAGAGCCCAATCTGCCAGAAATGATCACACTCCTGTAACCAATCATGCGTCAGACTGAGGTTAGGACCGCCCACTTCATTAGCATATGGACACAGAAATACATAAATAAATGTAAGTGACCGTAAATGTAGAAATATATTAAAGATATATAATAATGTGTGTTCTGTTTTATTTTCGACTTTTATTTATTTATTTATACATTCATGTATTTATTTCCATATTTATTTATGCATTTATTATTTTATTTATTTATTTGTGTATTTATTTCCACATTTATTTATTTCTGTATTTATTCCTGTATTTATTTATTCCTGTATTTATTCATATATGTAGTTACACATGTATTTATTTATTTTTTTACACTTGTCATGTTCTGTCCTCCATAATAGGGGACCTTTAAGGGATTGTGTAATCAGTATACAAGAAACTAACTGTATTCCCTTACATTACATACACATTTTTAAATTTGATTTCACTGTACAATATTTAATTATTATTTTGGCACTTGTGGGTTATCTGTCGCCACTGTTTTTTTTTTTTTTCAGACTATCTAAACAACCTTAACCCTTACCCCTAGGATTAATGTTTGTTATTTTGAGAAATGAAAAGGTTCATGTGGAGGAGGGTTAGGGTTAGCCAGCTATTAAAAAGTGGGGACAGATCACCCACAAGTACCATTATTTCTTTAATGTTTTTTATGTCTTATTGCGTTGCATTTTTGGAGGAGCTTGGGTCTTTTCTTTGCCATAACTACACTGTGTCTACTGTGCATATGACGATAAAGCCTTTTAATCTCTGAACCCCCTCCCCTCAGGTCCTCCTGTTGTCCCCGCTCTGTGAGTCCCCGTCTCTGCTGTGTCTCTCGGACTTGCTGGGTGAGGAGACGGCCCTGGAGCTCATGTCCGTCTTCAACCAGTGTCCTCCGAAGTCGGTCCAGTTTCGCTGCCACCTCCTCCTGGCCCTCACCTCCGTCCTGGTCTGCACTTCCTGCGTAAACAACCGCTCCCGAGCGTCCCAAGACTTCCTGGACCTGCTCCTCCAGATATCCCAGGACTCCAATGACCTCCACGGAGACGTTGCTCTGCGGGCCACAGCTTGTGATTGTCTCCGGGAGATGGAGGCCTGTTCTCCCGGTCTCCTCTCCCAGCGACTGGAGCTCTTAGATGGGCTCCGGCAGCGAGAAACGTCCCGGCTCCACCAGGCCTACGCGGGGCTCCACACCCTGGTGTTAAGGAATGCCGTTTATCAGGTGGGAAGCAGTGGAGTTACTGTACTTAAGTACACATTTCTGGTATCAGTACTTTACTCCACTACTTATTTTTCTGACGACTTTTCACTTTTACTTCTTATATTTTGAACCCAAATACCTGTACTTTCTACTTCTTACATGTTGAACACAAATACCTGTACTTTCTACTTCTTATATTTTGAACCCAAATACCTGTACTTTCTACTTCTCTCATGTTGAACTCAAATACCTGTACTTTCTACTTCTTACATGTTGAACACAAATACCTGTACTTTCTACTTCTTACATGTTGAACCCAAATACCTGTACTTTCTACTTCTTACATGTTGAACACAAATACCTGTACTTTCTACTTCTTACATGTTGAACCCAAATACCTGTACTTTCTACTTCTTACATGTTGAACACAAATACCTGTACTTTCTACTTCTTATATTTTGAACCCAAATACCTGTACTTTCTACTTCTCACATGTTGAACACAAATACCTGTACTTTCTACTTCTCTCATGTTGAACTCAAATACCTGTACTTTCTACTTCTTACATGTTGAACACAATACCTGTACTTTCTACTTCTTACATGTTGAACACAAATACCTGTACTTTCTACTTCTCTCATGTTGAACACAAATACCTGTACTTTCTACTTCTTACATGTTGAACCCAAATACCTGTACTTTCTACTTCTCACATGTTGAACACAAATACTTGTACTTTCTACTTCTCTCATTTTCCAAACAGCTGGTTCCTTTAGTCTGAATGTGTGTTTGATGCGTGATCATTATTCTTTAGAGTCATTGCGTGCCTATTGATTTGAACACGATCCGTGTATCCATCATTTCCTGGTCTTCTCTAAAGAAGAGGGACCAATGGAATCGTTGTCATGTTGCCGTTGTTCAGCATGGAAACATTCATTAGCTAACAATGACATTATTGTTCTATTAATATAAAGGGAGGTCAGGTACTCTTTAAAGCAGCTGCTAGTTATGGGTACTTTTTACTGAAGTACATTTCAAAGCCTCTTTACTTTTACTTGAGTAAAGAAGTTTAGTCAGTACTTCTACTTTCACCAGAGTATTTTTAAACACGAGTATCTGTACTTCTACTTGAGTAAAGGATGTGTCTACTTTTCTGTCAGTTGACCCAGGAAACCGGAGCCGGAGCCGAGCATCTCAAAGCTCTTCTGGGAGGAAACACATCGGTAGCATGGGAGGCGGAGCTGGATCTAATGAACAGTAAAGATGACTCAGCAGTTCTGTCTTCTCTCATCCGGGGGCCCATGGGCTCCGTGCCGACCCTGCAGACGGGGCCCGACTGTAAGGAGCTGCGGGCGGTGCTGTCCTCCCTCCTGGAGGAGTCGTACCTCCTCACGCCTCTCAGTCAGGCCGCTCTGCTGCACCGGCTGACCGAGGTGGTTGCCATGGTTCCCGGTGTCTCTCCCGCCGTGTTCAGAGCTCAGCTGCTGAGACTGCTGGGCACCAGTGAGGTTGGTGTATAATTTCTTTTTTTTCTCTGATTCTTGTTTCTGTATACAAGCATTTGTTGAGTTTAGGTCTTTAAAGAGGCTCTATTCTGCTTCTTTTGGTTATCCTTTTCCAGTAGTGTGTTCTATTGTTTTTTTTGTGCATTTCCCTCCATTGGGAGTTTCTCTCCTACACGCTCGCCTCAAACACCTCCATTGGATTCCTTTGTTTACTTCCAGAACATAGTGACATCTCTACGTAACACTCAGGCTTCTATTGGCAAGCGCTCAAACACATTGGGGGTGGGGCATCTCCTAGCTGCCAATCAGAGCAGACTGGGCTCTGGTTTCAGACAGAGGGTGAAAAGAGGTGCTGCAGCACAGGCAGTATGAGAAAAGAGCTTTTTCAACATTAAAGCATGGAGACATGTCAGAGTAGAGGATCAAAATACAAATATGAACCTGATAGGAGCACAATAGGGCCCCTTTAAACTATCTTAGTTTTCATCAAATAAAAATCAGCTTTTTGCTTTGGCATGATAATAATTGATGTCTCTCCCCTCAGGTGTGCCTCTTCCACTCCATCCTGCTGATGAAGAGTGCGTTCACAGACAGTCTGTTCAGCGCCGAAGACGAAGCCTTCCTGCTCCAGCGGCTGGTGGTTCTCTCCCAGCACCCGCTGCTGAGCCCCCCCGAGAAGCTCTTCTATATTGACTGCATCCTGAGCTTCCCCGAGAACCGGCCAATCGGGTGCGGCGACGACGCCCTCCCCGTGCTGCTGACCCCGCGGCTCGCCTCGGTCCTAGTGCCCACCGTGTTCAACGACAGCGCCACCTTGTTAGCCCGCCTCCACCTGCTGTGTCTGGTCTACCTGGAGGAAGAGGATGAAGGGGAAGAAGAGGGGAGGGGGTTGGGTTACCTCTACGATCACCTGACCTCACTGCTGCAAATCGTGGATAATGGAGGCAGCCGGGAGATCGTGGTCACCTTCTTCAGAGCCGCCTTCCTCTTCCTCTCCTACTTCTTCCCCGTGGAGTGCTTCTCCCACAGCCTGATGGAAGAACTGTGTTCGCTCTACCTTCGTCACACCCACCTGGCGCCGCACTTCATCAATTTAGCCGACCACATCCAGGAGCAGCTGTCCGAGTCCAACTGGGCGACGGAGTTTTTGAAGGCCCTTCAAGGAGCCATCACTGACGCCGAACTCACCTCAAAAGACTTAAGCTGGCACCTCAAGATGTTAGCAAGAGTGGCGGAGGAAGGAGAAATCAAGCAGCAAAGCACCGTCAACTTCCTGTCCCACATCATCACTTCCTCATCTCTGTGCGTGAAAGGCGACTGGCGCCTCGGGAACTTCCTCCTCTGGGTTTGCCGCCGCCTCCTGGTCCACCCGGGCCTCGACGTGCTACTCATCCCGCTGGCCGACGTCCTGCAGCATCTCGCCTGTCGCTACGGAGACACGGACATCCGGGATCACGCCCGCCTCTACTACACCCTGCTGACCACGCTGTCAAAGGACAAGCTGGCCAGGGTTTTGTCGCAGGGATACGGCGAGGGAGGCGGCCAGGCCAAGAAACTAACGTTTTCCTGCATCGTGGCGGAAAGTGAAGGGTTGACCAGCTTGCTGACGGTCCACCAGGCGAAGACAATTATCCTAAAGCTGGTGGAGGAGCCACAAACTGAAACAGGAAGTGGACTAAACCAAAATGAGGATAACCCCGAGGAAGCGTCCGTAGCGCTTGAACAGTACAGAGCCCAGTTTGACGTCCCTGGCTTCGCCTCAGAAATCCCTCTCAACTACCAGCTGACTCACAGCGAAAGTGCCGACTCATGCTTCGATCAGCTCTTCAGTATCCGTCTCCACTTCAGCCTCACGGACGACCACTACGAGCCGCTGGGAGACGTCAGCGTCCCGTGTGTGTTCAGAGAGAGGCCGCCGCCCAGCGTAAAGCTTAGGCTGAAACCCAGACGACCCCAACCAACCTCCCTCCACGCCAGCGCCATCTTCACCACCCAGGACGGCCTTTCCTGGCTCACAGATCTACCGGACGTCCATGTAGCTTTCCGGCAGACCTTCCTGCCTCTTCCCGCCCCCGAAACCTGGGGACGAGGCAGCAGATTGAGCTTGTTCGATGGTTTGTGGGATGAGATGAGCCGTGAGGAGCCAACAGGAGGTGCTACCAGTCTGTTCTGCTGCCAGCTGCAGGAGGAGGCTCTGAAGACCCTGGTGGAGAAACACTTCCTCCCCTACCTCGTATCAGATCAGTCGGATAAAGAGGAGATCAAAGTGCTCTTCTTCCTCCCGCCGCAGTCTCACCTGCTGATGAGGATCCGCTCTGAGGAAACCGTGCACTTTAATGTGGCCACAGATAACTGGCAGCTGCTGCCGCACATCAACTCTTATCTGCTGACTCTCACGTCCTCACAGGAAGACACACACACCTGACTGCTTACTAGCTTGATTTTATATCATTTTTTAAATAAGCTGATTTTTAACCAAATCATCAAATTGTTGTCAGCGCTTTAATAACTCCAATTGTGCTTTGTAATAACATTGCTGTAGACAGATGATTTAAAATAAAAATGATTGCACTTTTATTGTCTTGATCTGAAATAAAGAAAATGTGTATTTGATTTACTGAACTGAGTGGTTGCAGTCTATAAACAACACGAAATAGATAATTGTCTTGATGGGTCGCTCAGGGAATCACTTAACAGAAGTCATCTATGAAAGAACGCCATCCACAATAAAGCAGGCATTATTTTATTATATATATTGCACAACACTCCATGTAAGAACCTGCAGTATAATGTTTGTCATTTATATCCTGTGTTTGAATCTTATTCCTCTTGCGATTAATTAAACGTTTGGACCAAATAGTAAATAATTCTCATCAGTTTCTTAAAGTCCAAGGCAATATCTTTATGTCTTGTTTTGTCAGCGAAAAACTAAGATAACCTGCTTTAATGTAATATAAAATTAGGAAGCGGCTAATGTCTATCTAATAGTTGATTACATTATCTACCGTTCATCCGGAACATAATGACATAACTATGGCCCATTCCCAAACCGCCCCCCTACACCCTACCCCTCCGTTTGCGCGTTCACGCGGAGGGTCCGCCATATTAAGTGCTGTTCCAAACCAACGACTGATTGATTGATTGATTGAAAAGTGTATTAACAGCTTGTATATTGGGTACAGTACAGTACAGCTGAAAACATACAATTGTTAAGGGGATGCAGACCAGAGAAAGACTTTCGTCTTGTTTACATCAGGGTCCCCCATTTCCAATTCATCATATCATTTAAGACAGATAAGACATACAGATTGCTTATTTACAATTTTCATTTTAGATTTCGTTCTAATACATCCTAACCGGACATTTAAGACATACCAAGTCTACAGATATACAGTTAGTAACAGAGTCTAAAATGCGAGTATATACATAGATGGGGGGGGAAGCTGTCCATTGAACGACAGGTTGAGATTTGTACCATTACCGGGGCCAGTTTTGCAATGCTCTCCCCCGAAGGTGCTCTTTAAGAGAGGTTTTGAAGGTAAGTATAGTTTTACTTTCCTTTACAGTTGTGGGAAGAGCGTTCCACCTTGATGTGGCATAATTGCGAAACGTGTATTCCCCCTTTTTTGTGCCAAATCTGGGTTTCACATGATTAGTGGAGCTCCCTCTGGTGTTATGATCATGGTATTCCTTAACCTTTGGGAAGAATTTTGACATGTACATGGGTACCATAGAGGTGTAGTGGATCTTGTAGACCAGGCCCATTGCAAGTAGCTGTACTCTGTCGTCTACTCTAAGCCATCCTAGGTTGTCAAAGTGGGCAGAGGTGAGGTGGGTTCTAGATGAAAGGTCAAGCAGTAGTCTGACCAGTTCATTTTGCGATGTTTGAAGTTTTATTTTTAGCGCCTTGGAGGTGCTATGGTACCATGACGTGCAAGCATAGTCATAGTACCCTTGAATGAGTGCTCCTGCCAGAGTTTTCAGGGTGTTTTTGTTTACCAGAGAGGAGATCCCGTATAGGAATCTAGGGGGGGGCAGAGTACCGTTTACCTCCACCATCTGTTCTCTCCCCTCCAGGTAGGATTGCATCCAGCTCACCGATAGTTTATCAAAACCAATTGCTTTTAGCTTGTCAATCAGAATGGGGTGATTGACAGTGTCGAAAGCCTTTTGTAGGTCCAGCATCACCATGCCGCAGTACCTGCCCTCGTCCACCTCTTGTTTGATGTGGTCGCTCAAATAAAGAAGGCATGTGTCAGTGGAGTGGGATGTTCTAAAGCCAGATTGAAATTCATAGATTAGTTTATTTTCCGCGAGGTACTTTTCGACCTGTTCATATACTATTTTTTCCATGACTTTCGAGATGGAGGTAAGTATAGAAACAGGGCGGTAGTTGCCTGGGTCCAATTTGCTGCCCTTTTTGTGCAGGGGGGTTACTCTTGCAATTTTGAAGTCTTTGGGTACTTTTCCCTGTTTTATGGAGAGGTTAATTATGTGAGCTATGACTGGTGAGATGGCGGTTGCTGTGTCTCTGAGGAATTTGGAGGGGATATTGTCGTGGCCAGTGGCCTTGTTAGGTTGGAGGGCGCTCAGTTTAATGAGTACCTCTGCTGTTGTTACCCTTGCTAGACTGAAATCATCTTTGCGTACCCCTAGGTTTTTGTAGTAGGTCATGATGTGATCTACTCCAAAAAGCCCTGAGTGGGAGGGTAATTTATTTACAAGAGTTGTGGCTATGTTTGTGAAAACAATGTTCAAGTACTTGGCCACATCCAGTTTGTCTGTGATGAGCCTGTTATCTGTCTTTATGTGGGAGTGTGGAGCGGTGTGGAGGGGGAGTGGGCTATCAAGCCCTCAAACAGCGAGTCTGCATCGGTGCTGACCTATGGTGCTGACTTGAGACCATAGCTTGACTCCGGTCTCTCCCTGACCGGAGTCAACGCTGTGTGTGTCCGTCAGGAAACAAGCTGTTAACAAGTAGTTCCAGCAAACATCCACTGATAAACTGCGATGTTAACAACCTCTTGATAACCTCATATGTTTTTAACTTAGGATCAAACCTGTGTTTAGTCTAGAAAAAGGTAAATGTGTGCATTTTATTATAAAGTTGTGTATATTTACAGATTGTTGCAAAAACTAAGAAGCTTATAAACATCAGGTTTAAAACTAAAAGAGCTTTACAAAAAAGTAACACAATGAAAGATGTTTGGAGTTTTATTTGAGTTATTAATTTACATTTTTTGTCTAAGAGATGCTGATTTGAAACCGTTGTTACATACAGTTACGGCATTTCCTGTTTCTGCCGGAGAGAGGGGAGGCCGTCCCAAAGCTTGCTGCTGTATTTACTCCCTCCATCTGACAGGAGGGAGCCTCGTTGAGCTGCGAGTGTGGCTACAGACGGAGTTCACTCCGTCACGGAGGGGTAGGGTCGAGGGAGTGGTTTGGGATTGGGCCTGAGTCACAATACCGCTCCGATTGGCTAGCGCTCCAACACATTGTATGTGATAGGCTAAGGGGCGGGACATCTCTAAGCGGTTGACCAACCACAACAGAGCCGGCCAGCTAACCAATCAGAGCAGACTGGGCTCTGGTTTCAGACAGAGGGTGAAAAGAGGTGCTGCTGCACAGGCAGTATGAGAAAAATAAAGAGCTTTTTGAACATTTAAGCATGGAGACGTGTCCCAGTAGAGACACATGCTGATATACACCTGAACATCAGCAGGAGAGGACTCTTTAAAGTAGAGGCACTACATACTGATACACACCTGAACATCAGCAGGAGAGGACTCTTTAAAGTAGAGACACTACATACTGATATACACCTGAACATCAGCAGGAGAGGACTCTTTAAAGTAGAGACACTACATACTGATATACACCTGAACATCAGCAGGAGAGGACTCTTTAAAGTAGAGACACTACATACTGATATACACCTGAACATCAGCAGGAGAGGACTCTTTAAAGTAGAGACACTACATACTGATATACACCTGAACATCAGCAGGAGAGGACTCTTCAAAGTAGAGACACTACATACTGATATACACCTGAACATCAGCAGGAGAGGACTCTTTAAAGTAGAGACACTACATACTGATATACACCTGAACATCAGCAGGAGAGGACTCTTTAAAGTAGAAACACTACATACTGATATACACCTGAACATCAGCAGGAGAGGACTCTTTAAAGTAGAGACACTACATACTAATATACACCTGAACATCAGCAGGAGAGGACTCTTTAAAGTAGAGACACTACATACTGATATACACCTGAACATCAGCAGGAGAGGACTCTTTAAAGTAGAGACACTACATACTAATATACACCTGAACATCAGCAGGAGAGGACTCTTTAAAGTAGAGACACTACATACTGATGTACACCTGAACATCAGCAGGAGAGGACTCTTTAAAGTAGAGACACTACATACTGATATACACCTGAACATCAGCAGGAGAGGACTCTTTAAAGTAGAGACACTACATACTGATGTACACCTGAAAATAAGCAGAACATGTCCTCTTTAAAACTTTATTTGATAACAGAGTTCATGCACAGGCCTGTCAGTGTAGCCCGATTTCATATTTCGGAAAAGATACTTCCCTGACGTCGCAACTGGTTCAGCGATTAATGCAGGTCAAACAAGTTGTAGTAATGCATCGGGACTTAAGTCAGTGTGTGAAGGTAACAGAAAGACTGGTATAAGGGAGTTCAATCCAAGCCTGTTCACAGGTATTTCCATTAAGACTATAGTTAGCATGGTCCGTGTGTCCTTTAAAAGGTCCAGTCCTTTATTCACAGAGGCCCTTGAAGTTGGGCTCTGTCTGAGGCGGTAGGGATGTCTGCTGGCTCAGGAGTTTGTCCATGATGGCGAACTCTGCGTCCCTCTTCTCCACCTGGTCCACCGGCGTCCAGGACATGTCGTGCTGCAGCTTGAACGCTCCGACAAATTGGTGAGGGCAAGTCGGACCCCATTCCTTCAGAGGAGACAAAGAGAGTATGCTGCTTAGTCAGAAGTCAAACAAAACTCCCTGCCTGAAACCTTTCTTTTTTCTTAAATGGCAAAAATGATAGTAAGTTTGTCTTTGCTAATAATAAATGTTTAGATTTTGAACAAGAGATGATATCAAAGACTATTGAGGCAAAACTATAAAAGCCAATCATTCATTGAATCTCTTAATGCAACCGTACCAAAGATGAACTACTGTTAGTTTCTGAATTAGAAGCATTTTCTTTGTTTCTATTATTCATTGAACAAGAAAGATGCATAACAGTACATTTATCTCAAAGAGAGCCAGATTAAAGCTAAAAGTGTATCCATCTGCAGTCCTTTAGCATGTAGACACAAGATACACCCGAGAAACACTACTTAGCGTCTGTCACACTTTGCGGTAATGCATGTGAATGGTCTGCAAAGGCTAATATCCCAGCCTCCTTTGGACTCCTGAAAATGAGCATAATGTGTCGTCTTTAAGTCAAATTAAAATGACAAACATCGGGTTTCTAATCGTTGGTCAAAGCAGTTTTATTTCCACATTTTCCTCTGGTTTCTTATTATTACATATACAACTTGTCAAATGTTAAAAAAGCATCTGCGGTCTTGGTTTAGCTCCCTGGCATCCATAGAGTCCATGACGGCTGGAAACCTCATGTTACCTGAATAATGCAGATACAACTGAAACCAGTCAAATCCAACCTAAGCTGCCTGTGTTTTCGCCGCCTGCTCACTATCAGGCACATGAACTTTGAACACCAAACTCCTCAAAATGTCAGCGTTACAGACAGACTTCCCGGTGTTTGCGGAGCCATTCATACGTTAGGCATTTTTAAAAGGCAGCTTAAAACCTCTTTACCAAAGCATTTTACTGATTTTAAACTATTATACTGCACTATTTCTCTATGTTTTATTCCCCATGTTATATTTAATTATGTTACCCCACTTTATGCTTTGCTCTTGCTGCTTGTTTTACACTGATTTTATGTCTTATTTTTTACTCATGTAAAGCACTTTGAACTGCAATCCCCTGTATGAAAGCTGCTATACAAATAAAGTTATTATTATTATTATTATTCACAGTTTGTCCTCTCTGTGGGAGTTAAGTAACACTATGTCCTGCAGGGTGACCTGATAACACTCAAAGAAGCTGGTGAATCTATCGAAGTATCAGTGTGACGCAGACCTTAGGAGAGATGATGGAGAAGTAATTCTGTCCGGAGCTTCTCTCGTAGAGGTAATACATGTTGCCGGGCTTCTTCACGATGTTACAGGCAGCATGGTGGAGGTCTGCATCTCTTTTAGCGTCTTCTAAAACCTGGAAACACAAGGACAAATATATTGGGACTGGACCGAAAGACAGCTAGTTATCTGAAATGTTTTCATACATGTTTTTGCGTCCCTTTTGCAGATATACTGTTTTTGTACAGTGACATCAGGATCAGTGAAATATTGCTTTTTTATCACATGAGCATGACCACTACAACAGACATCCCCAGAAATCCATGTTTGGTTCAACACTTGCTCAGTTTAAGTTCTAGGAGTGACAAAATAAATCTTATCTTATTTCGTTAGACTATATATTTCCACATTTATCAGATTTCTTTATTCCCCTTTATTTGTCCACAATTTTTTCACATTTAAAGATGCATTAAAAAAGCGCAACTGCATCATTTGTGTGTCCGTACAATATTTAAACACACAACCCATGACATGTGTGTACAGGAGTTTTCTCTGCTTACCTTCCTCGCCTGTTCCTGTAAATATCTGATCTGGTCGGCAATGACTGTCAGTTTGTTGCAGGCGTTGGCTTTGATGAAATCATCGCCCTGAAAACAAGTTCAACAAATATGTTCAGGACTGTTCATATCCACAACAAGAGGTGTTACTTGCTGTGTATCATTTAAATACATCTCTGACATACCCTCTGTACTGTTGTTGCGAGAGCCACCAGGTCCATGGGGTCTCCCACCCGGTGAGTCTGATAGGAACTGACCAGCTCCAGCCCACAGGGGGCGCTGCTGCTCTCCACCAGAGTCACTGCAAAACACAGGAGCACAGTTACATCACAATCAGGGTGGGGACTGGGGAGGGTTACTTTAGGGGTGTAGATTCACACTTAAAGTATTATCCTACAGAACAGTACAGCTTACAGAGAAGAGAGAACATCTAATCCTTTTACAACAAACACTATCTGCTCTTTTTAGATGTCTTACAAACATTGTATCGTGCTAGTAACCGCCAAATATAACAGTAATCCAATTTTTTTTAATGTAACTGTAACGGAATGCAGTTTCCTGATTACATAATCCCATTACATGACATCCATTAGACCCCAACCCTGATTCTAAAGCATGTCACTGAATCATCAGAAGTTATTTCTGATCCTACTACAACTTCTGTAACGTAGGCAGTGCTGACTACTACTGTTTATGTCACCGACAGAAGCTACAGTGCATAACAACAGCTGTTCTACAATAACTACATGTAATGTGCTGAGATGAATCTATTCTATTGAGTGGCTGCTAAAAAGTTAACATTCAGGATTTGCTGGTGGACAGTACACGTTTAGGTTGCACCTTGTAGACTGTGTTTGTATAAGGGCAAGATAACGTCAATATGCTATAAGAGTGACAACAATATCATTAAACAGAAACATTGCCTTTGTGTGAATATAATTATATTTATTCATGTGACATTTCTAGATAATATCGTTGCATGAAGTAGCATTTAACTGTTGTAGACAAACACAGTTATGATTGACTTTTTGTATGATATTTAAATAAGTTGACTATTGTGTGACTTAGAGAGTAGTTAAACAATAAGAGATGCATTTTGTGATAGATCACTAAAGCTGTTGAATAATTGAAAGGATTACTACATGGTTTACCTCTGAATACACATCTGAAAAGCATACAATCGTAATACTCATGTCAAATACATTTGATTAGTACTTGAGCAAATCTACTTGTAATGAGGTTTAAATTCACTCAGTAAGTATGTGTTACCTGTGATGGTTTTGTTGGGCTGGTTGGGGAGGCTGACCGTCCTGTCCATGATGTTGTCTTCTTACAGTTTCTATACAACAAACTCATCTGTTAAGTGTTTTATAAGATATCTCTTCTCTTTCCACATGTAGGTTTTGTAACCAGCTAATATTTGACCAAAAACACCGGAGGCTTCACGGGGTCCTAAATATCCGCCCCTTTTTTGCATTTTATGGTAGTCCAAATATATGCCTGAACAAAATGCTTCAAATTCAAACCTTTATTTTAGTTTTTTCACTATTATAAATTCCTATTTTAAAATATCCTACATGTATAGATCAAAATTATATCAAATGTTGTGCTATTTTGTATAATATATAATCATTTTACTTTAATTTATCTTCAGGAATATCAAAACCAGCCCAGCCTCGCCACAGAACATCTAAAATAAGAGAAGATACGTCACTGTTGAAAAACCAAACAAGCAGGTATCGATCTATCGGCGTAAAATTAACTAAAACAGTCGCTGTGTTACATTTGTTTGATCTGCAACTTCACACCTTGCATCAAATAACGTATTAAAAGGATGTTCTCCACATAAGGCCTTCACTCTTGTTGTCTTGGGTTTACTGCTATTTGCTTCACATGGTTTCCCCCAAGATCCTTTGCGTGCACTCAAATTACACAAGTTATTTTGTAGAAGGTAGTAGATGTTGTTTTCCTAAATATTCCTTATATGTATTTCATGTGTGGATTACGGCAGGGTGTGCAATATTGTCCTGGTGTAGTGGTGGGGGGAATATGTGATATATGAGATACTTTACTAGTGAAAATAAATATCACACTATTTTTACACTTGGCAACAGCTATCCATTCACCCTTTTTTGGGAACACACACACACACACACACACACACACACACGCACACACACTCTCACTCTCTCTCACACACACTACTACTTCTTCTTCTTCTTCTAGTTACTGACAACACGTGTTATGCTTAAATTATGTGATGCAGTTCTGTTCTACTGATGTAGGCAGTATTTTTCTTTTTTTAAAGTATGTAATATGAGCGTATAAACAGCATTGAAGGAGTTTAAATGTATTTGTGGGTGATAAAAACAAAAAAGTAATATTTGATTGCAAAATAATTCAGAAGTAATACTGTGAAAAGAGCCATTTTGAAAACTGAGTTACTTTTACTTTTCTTACTTTAAGTAAATGTAGGCCTACCTGATAATAGTCCTACTTCTGTACTTCTCTAGTATCATTTTCACATCAGGACTTTCAATTTTAATTGTATTTAACTATTGCAAGCCTACTTGTCTGCAAGAGTCCTACCCTAGTTAAATACAGGCAATTGTTTTACATTGCACTATTATTATGTTGTTTGTTTGGGGGATGAGGGGTGGTGGTGGGGGGCTCAACTTCTCAAACCCCGCCCCCAGAAAGTTTCTCCATTGGAGCAAAGTTTCCGCTCCTCTCTGCCGGCTGTCCTCTCTCTTTTCCCGGCTGCTGTCCCGTTGCAGAGCCCGGTCCCTTCACCGCCATGGATCCCCGTTACGCATCGCTTTTCCTCTGCGTCTTTATCCCCCTGTGCGCCTCGCACTCCGGCTCGATCAGCCACCTGGTTCTGGAGCCTTATGACTTCCTCTTCGACACTGCGGTGGATGCCTACAATAAGGGGGACTGGCTGACGGTCATCCTGAACATGGAGAAGGCGCTGCGCAACAAAGCGACGCTCCGCAGTGTGAAGGCGCAGTGCCGGATCAACTGCGCAAACCAGACCGTGTTTGGTGACTCCCTGTCCGGATCCGGAGGTGCAATCCCCGGGGCCGGATCTGTGGACGATCTGGGCTTCTTCCAGAAAATCCTGAAACGGGCTGACTGTGTGTATTCTTGCGAGATTGAGAAACTGGGGTCTCGTACTATGCATCTGGTGACTGCAGACGTGGAGCTGGAGTTCACCAAAAGAACCCCCTATAACTACCTGCAGGTCGCCTACTTTAAGGTGAGGATCTGAGCCACAGAGATGCGTGTGGAGCTGCAATCAGTGCAAATGCATCACACATAACGGATATAAAGTGACATGCTTCCCAGTGGAAGCCCATACATATGCATGCCGAGAACACAGTCAAAACAATAGTTTGACTTTTAATGTAAGCTTTGATTTAGAGCTTATATAGAGTTGGACACTTTAAATACCCCCTTCCCCCCAAACCAAGACTCCATGCCACGTCTTAAGGTGGAGTCTGAGCAGTCTGACTTTAGGACGTAGCTTTTTGGGATCCAGCGGTTTTTAAAAGGCCTGTCGTGCTGCTTTCAAATGCTCCTGGTAAAATCATAATGACCAAAGAAGAAAAAGAGTGTTCGATAATGCTTTGTTGGCACATTGGACTATACATTCAAGTGAATGCTAGTCGTCTTGTTACTAAAATAGAATGTTTTTGTCAAAGGAAGCTCTGCTGTATTTAGGCAAAAATACTATTCTCATACAAAACATGAAAGCAGCAACATACCCAAAAGAGATGGTGAAATTATTTTTAAAGGGGCAGATCTCAAACACAACCAGACGTGTCATTAAAACTTAAAAAGTCACCTAAATATATTTCCCTATACTTATTTAGGTCCAAATGTAGTAAAAGGAAACACAAAATAAGAACTCCATGTTTCTGGTTCAGTAATATAGTTGGTTTTTCAACCAAGCTAGATTTAACTTTCAAAACTCTGATAATAACACGGTAGTGAAACCTCCTGTTTACCATCTCATCCAGTTGATGGCAGTGTACTGGTCACTGAGCTAACAATGCTTATTCACTGTTGGTTTTAAATGACATACCTTTGAAATTACAGCCATGAGGCGTGGTTGCTGTGATTTATATACAAAAGGAAATATATGTTTACAATTCGAGCATGGCGTAGTTGGAGGTCAATAAAACCAAAGCAGTACTTAAAGGAATATTCCACCCAAAAACACTTATTTCTTTCAGATCAATAAGCTGGATAAAGCGGTGGCAGCTGCTCACACGTTCTTCGTGGCCAACCCGGATCACGTGGAGATGAAACAGAACCTGGAGTATTACAAGATGATGGCCGGAGTCACGCAGGAGGACTTCAAAGACCTGGAGGCCAGACCACATATGGTGAGGACAAAGTGAACTAACACCTTCTCTGAGGAGAGTAAGGCCTCAAGAGCAGGATTTAGGGACTGGTTGTATTGTTTATTCATGCTGCTCACATTTCTGTAATTATTGGTTTGGTATAGTTCAGTAACATTTGGTCGCATGGTCCTTATTTCTACTGTCGCATGGCTGTGGGTGCTGCTTCAGGCCAACTTGACTTTTTTTAACTATACACTTTCTTTTAGCCTATGGGATCAAAGCTGTAAAGGAATGTGAAACATATTGGACATGAAAGTACGGCTGGGTAATACATTGATATTATATATATTTTGTGATTTGCATCTAGATATCATCCTAAATGTTCGTAACATCGCATAAATGTATTTTTGTTTCTGGTTTTAAAGGCTGCATTACAGTGAAGTGATGTGATTTTCTGAACTCACTGTTCAAGCTGTAATGCTTTTACCCGGTCGTTATGTCCAGATTACTCATTATTATTCATAAGACATTTCATATTGTTTGTGAACAATTCGTAGATGCATACATTGTCAATCCTACAATATTGACCCAATAATGATATCAGAGAGAGAAACTCCCTCTGGAGGGAACACAGGGATTTTAGGCTTTGCAGACCATTTACATGCACTAAAAACCTAAATCACACACTAGAGGAAAGGGAAAACCCCCTAAAAGCAAATTAGGGCCCCTCTAATAACCTGCTGTGCACTTTGTTATTATTACATAAGAAAATACACTTGTATATGTCGTAGCAACAGAACTGTTACACAGCCCCCCCTCTGCATTGACCATAATCCACTTCCTGTCCCCTCAGGCCCAGTTCCTGCTGGGGAAGAGTTACTACAGCGACGACTCTTTCGGCCTGGCGGCGGATCACTTCGAGGTGGCCGTGGACGAGTACTTCACTGCCGATAAGGAGTGCAGAGTGCTGTGCGAGGGAACGTACAACTACGACGGATACAACTACATGGAGTACAGCGCCGACCTGTTCCAGACCATGACAGGTGAGACTGTCAATCCCTGTGTGATGAGCAGGTTTAAAGAGTAACAGATTACACGTAATACAAGTAATCAGATTACATGACTTTTATATTGTGATACTCAAATTTGGTTAGTGATACAATTTTTTACAGGTATCTAGTAATTGTAATGAGATACGTTTTAAAGTAACCCTCAAAGCCTGGTTATGGGGCAGTTAAGATGAATTGAAGGTTGAAAATAATGTGTGTGTGTGTGTGTGTGTGTGTGTGTGTGTGTGTGTGTGTGTGTGTGTGTGTGTGTGTGTGTGTGTGTGTGTGTGTGTGTCAGACCACTACATGCAGGTGCTGAACTGTAAGCAGAACTGTGCTGTAGAGCTGGCCTTGACGGCTGGAAAACTCAAACCCTTTGAGGACTTCCTGGCGGCGCATTTCAACTACCTGCAGTTCTCCTACTACAACAGTGAGTCCAACACATCGATTGTAAGGTCCAGCAGAATTGTAGTCTTGTACTGAGGAAACTGTCTTTATCAAATGTCCTTCACTGTAATAAAAGTGGGATTAAACCCTACATCTGCAGAGGTTTTCTTTGATTAAGCATATGGCAAGAGATAGTTGTTGTTAATTATGTCAGAGACCCTTTGGCTGCATTTGTCTTTATTGAATTGACTAACAATGCCTTCATCTTTGTTAAAACTATATGCTATACATGCCTCTTCAATATCAATCAAACTAGTGAGCCCTTTTAACGTTACTGTCATTGCACCAAGCAAAGAAATGACCATAACAACCAATCAGCATCTCACATTTGAACAAGAAAGAAGGTAGGTAGGTAATCATAAGAGTAAAAGCGCATTGGAAAACCCACTAGGACCCCTTTATTCAGAGAGCATATCTGGAGTGTAGAATAACAGTTTTAAAACCTAACCCCTCTTCCTCTTGTATCCTCTCTCCAGGTGAGAAGTACGAGAAAGCCATAGAGTGTGCTAAGACCTTCCTGTTGTTCAACCCTGAGGACACGGTGATGAAGCAGAACCTGGCTTATTACTCTGCTGTGCTGGGAGACGACAAGGCGGAACCCTTATCAGCCCGACAGGTACGGTCCAACTCCCTCACAGTGTTTCAGACAGTCCAAATCACATTGTGAGTGCAGTTATTTTCGGCGTAGTCCATACTGGTTGTCATTAAATGAGCCCACATGACATGAGGTGAGAGTGAAATTGCCTCCAAATGTACTGAAGGGTACTAAAGAGACAGAAAGCCAGTGATGGTGCTTTTTAAAGACACAATGAGATAGAGTTTAACTGCCCCATGCTCTCAATTTTCATTATTACAGCATTTAGAGCGGCTTAATAGAGTTGCTGATCAATACCAGGGTTTTATGTGAAGAAAGATGTAACCCAATCTGAGTCTCATAATATAAAAGGGGATATTACTACCCACACAGACAGGGCACGTCACCAAAGAATGTGTGACGCCTATGAAGCGATGACATTTCTAACCCTAACCCTGAGGAGCAATACAATTATATAAAGTGAAACAAAGGCTCCAAAATATAATGTTTGAGTCCCTGCGACAGTCGAGGCCAAAATAATCGGTTTAATAATCAATCTCAATCTTTATTTATTTAAATAGCACATTTAAAACAACCTCAGTTGACCAAAGTGCTGTACAGGGAATACATACAATATAAAATAACACAATGGGAGTAAAATAATAATACAATAATTAAAAACAATAATTGCTGTCTGTTCGTTCCATTCTTGCAAACCCTGATATCCTATCAGGAATGCTTGAAGCGAATCTCGTACATTTTGGCACAAACGTCCACTTAGACTGAAGAACAGAGTGATTTGATTTGAGTGGTTAACCCTTATGTTGTGTTCGGGTCTCCCGTGACCCGTCTCAAGTTCAAATTATATAATAACTACGCTCTAGTTTTTTGTATGGGAACAAGGCTTCATGATATCCTCCACAACAGCTATATAAACACTACAAAACAGATTTTGGCAATTTTAGCCAAGTCTGAAGGTCTCTAAAAAAGAAAGTGTATCATTTGGTGTTGGGGTCTGGGGAGACCCAGCAGAATTGTTGTGGGTGACTTTAGGTCAAATTTGGCCCAATCAAGATTCATCTTTGACTTAAACCCACCCCTCCCCCTTCATCCACTGTAACAAGAGTTTTTCGCAACATGCACCTGGTCTCCCCTCCCTCTGCCCCCTCCCCCCACGGGAACTCCACCTTTCTCAAAGAATATGTACACTAACACTTGAACCTGAACATGCACGTGTGAATATGTGGTGTAATGTGTTTTGGGGCCATAAAATAAAATGTCAACAGGATTGTACGGTTATGAATGCATAATAAGTTAGTTATGATGTAGTTAAAACAATATTGGAGGATAGTCATTTTTTTGTGTGTGTTTTGGACTGAGATAAATCATGGGTCAAAATTGACCCGCGAACACCATGAATGGTAACATCTTTCGAACACAACACAAGGGTTAAAGGTCACTTTGACCTCACGTTAGTCTTGTGAATACGTTATCCCGGATTTCCAGGATTTCTACAAATGTGGACCTCGACCCTTAGCTAGACTTATTCGAATGGGACAACTCCATTTTAGCCTTAATCTGACAATCAACAGATGGACTGGAAATGTCGTAGAGAGATGGGTATGACAAGCAACCAAAGTCCCGAGGTAGAAATCAGACCTGTGTCTTTGTGGTAAAGTAACATGTGCTGTTACCATAAGGCTTTGAAGGAGCTCCGAAGTCCTGTGTCTGGTCCAAACCGTCAGTCAAAGCTTGTCTGTCTTTAAACATTTGATTAAACACGATTTCTTATGGATATTTTGCAGACTGTGCTTTAAAAACAGATGTGATGATGTGTGTGACCTCCAGGTGGTGAAGCTGTACATGCAGCAGTCCATACTGGAGAAAGAGCTGCTCTACTTTGGATATGAAGCCTTCGGAATCGCATTTGTAGATCCGGTGAGTGAATAAATCATTTATCTTTGATGCTGTGGTTTCATGCAGGACGCTATCTGACTTTACTCTCGTTCTGTCTGCAGGACACATGGACTCCTGCAGAAGTCATGCCCAAGAAACTGAGAGACAAGCAGAAGTAAGACTGAAGACACAGACACTTATTTGTGCAGGAAAAGAACACCGTTATCGTGAAAATGTTTGTAATGGCTTCTGTGTTTCCACCTGTGTGTGTCAGAGCAGAAAAGGAGACTGCCGCGAGGATCACAGAGGAAATAGGAAACCTGATGAAGGAGATTGAGACTATGGTTGAGGAGAAGAAGAAGGATACCTCAGAGATGGCCATCATAATACCGCCGCACGAAGGTAAGACTTTGCCCTAGTACTAGTTATTGAGATGATGGTGCATTTATTCCATGCCTTGTCTGTATTATTTCATATGTAATCAAACCATTATTGTGATACATGTCAATTGTAAAAAAGAGGTGTTCCCCTTAACGTTTGACATGGAGTTATTATAACATTAGAATATTTCTGATCTGCTGCTGACAATGTTAAAGTTCTCTTAAAATACAGTAAAAACCAAGCCCCTAGGAAGTGTGCCAAACATTGAAGCACATTTTCCTTGTTGCCAAAACATGGTAGGCTACAACTCAGTGTCAGTCTGTGATGTCATTGGGAATAAAAATACTTTTCCCCATTGACTTGGGAAAGACACGTCTGGACTAAATTGACTACCCAGTAAACACACACTTGATATGGTCTGAAAATCCTGAAGTATGGTCTCTCTCCATTCATTTGACGAGATTGGCCGAGACGCTGCGTTTTGGATGCGGTGCTTAAGCAACACTCAAGTGCACACGCTCTATAGGCCCAGATATGGGTACCTTCGCTCTCGAGAGTCAGGCCATTTTGATTTATCTGCCATAAGAATGAACGGGATCCTGGCCTCCAACGCTGTATCCGGTTCTCTATATACATTGTATTATATTATTGATAGATAGATATATACTTTATTGATCCCAACTTGGGAAATTCTTTAGTTATAGAATATGACCGACATCGAGGTGGGCACTCTAGTGAAAGCCAATTTGAAACATTTTGTGAATATCAGAGCAGTTATGTGCAAGTAGTTTGACAGTAGTCAGTACCTGAGAAAGTCAAAGGTTCAGTCTTTGACCGTCTAACTGTTGATCGTGTGATTTCCTCCTGTAGTTGGCGCTCCGTTGTTCGATAACGTCAAGGTTACCATGACGTCCCAGCAGCTGAACGGCTCTGAGCGGGTGCTGCTGGACGGCGTGATCAGTGAGGACGAGTGCAGGGAGCTGCACCACCTCTCCAACGTGAGTCAGTGCAAGACGGAGGTTACTCACAACTCAATGAGTTTACCCATAATGCCACGGAAACAAACTTTATTGAGTATTCAACTAAGTCTTGTAGTAATATACAATATCATATTACTATCAATACATACAATTCATAAACGTACACATAATACAATCAATAAACAAAGTGCTTTTGAAGTTATGTCAGTTCTGATTTTTAATAAACAAACAGTTTCAGTATTTTCCTGACAATTAAAATATAACATGAAGTCACTAAAACTGGAGTTAGTTCTTAATGTCTGCTGGGTTTTAGCTATATTTATAGGCATCAATAACAACAGAACGGTCACAGGGAGGCAAACCCTTCTATTGTCTTCGTTTCCCCCCCCCCCTTACTTTGGTGTTCGTGGTCAAATTTGACCGGTCCTGTTTTAACTGCTATCACATTAACACAAAAACCATTAATCATCACCACATTTCATTTAACACCCTTTCAAACTGTACATATTGTATCAGACTACTGGTGTACATGAAAAACTGCAGTAAATATACAAAGAACAGACACTGAACATGTATTGCATGTACCAAGTGTGATCCATGTGGGGGGATGGGCAAATAAGAGCGGGAAACGTGTCAAATTGTTCTGTGTGTGTGTTTGTGTGTGCCAGGTGTGATTCGCATGGGGCGATGGGCACATAAGGGGAGGAAACACATCTAGAGTGTGTGTGTGTGTGTGTGTGTGTGTGTGTGTGTGTGTGTGTGTGTGTGTGTGTTTGTGAGTGTGTGTGTGTGTGTGTGTGTGTGTGTGTGTGTGTGTGTGTGTGTTTGTGAGTGTGTGTGTGTGTGTATTTTATCTGATCCGGATGGTTACTAATTCCTTTTCTTTATGGAGGTCATGTTTGAGCGGGAACACCATGGTGTTACAAAGTTGACTACATCATCCAAAATGCAATGAAAGTGGTGATCAGCAATTTTACATGTTCAAATGTCTCCTGTGAAGGATATCATGAAGCCTTAATGCAATCTAATGTAAAACAAAAAAGTCATGATTGATGAAAGTAGTAAATCTGTCAGATTTGAACCGAAGACAACAGCACAAGCTGTTACTAAAAAAAAAAAGACTGCAGGAGCAGGCAAGGTTAAACAAAAGAAAAGTCCAAAACTAAAAACTGGAAACAACCCGGGAAGACGTAGAAATGGGAGGGCAGAGGAGGGAAATCCATAACATGCAGGAAAGAAACCGAAATCAAGGAACGAACGACGACAAACCAACAAGGAACTCAAGAGATGACAAGACACAGCTTGAAAGAGCAAGAAGAAACACAATCAGACAATCAGGGGGAAACTAAAAGACAGGAAGTAAAACAAGACAAGGAACAAAACATTTCAAAATAAAACAAGAAACTATAAAGACAAAAACTAAAATCATGACAAGAACATTGAGTGTATTTTCAGTGTGTGTCTGTCCATCCTGTCAGTGTGTGTGTCTTTCCATCCTGTCAGTGTGTGTGTCTGTCCATCATGTCAGTGTGTGTGTCTGTCCATCCTGTCAGTGTGTGTGTCTGTCCATCCTGTCAGTGTGTGTGTCTGTCCATCATGTCAGTGTGTGTGTCTGTCCATCATGTCAGTGTGTGTGTCTGTCCATCATGTCACTGTGTGTGTCTGTCCATCATGTCAGTGTGTGTGTCTGTCCATCATGTCAGTGTGTGTGTCTGTCCATCATGTCAGTGTGTGTGTCTGTCCATCATGTCAGTGTGTGTGTCTGTCCATCATGTCAGTGTGTGTGTCTGTCCATCATGTCAGTGTGTGTGTCTTTCCATCATGTCAGTGTGTGTGTCTGTCCATCCTGTCAGTGTGTGTGTCTGTCCATCATGTCAGTGTGTGTGTCTGTCCATCATGTCAGTGTGTGTGTCTTTCCATCCTGTCAGTGTGTGTGTCTGTCCATCCTGTCAGTGTGTGTGTCTGTCCATCATGTCAGTGTGTGTGTCTGTCCATCATGTCAGTGTGTGTCTGTCCATCATGTCAGTGTGTGTGTCTGTCCATGTCAGTGTGTGTGTCTGTCCATGTCAGTGTGTGTGTCTGTCCATCATGTCAGTGTGTGTGTCTGTCCATCATGTCAGTGTGTGTGTCTTTCCTCATGGTCAGTGTGTGTGTCTGGTCCATCTGTCAGTGTGTGTGTCTGTCTCATGTCAGTGTGTTGTCATGTCCATCATGTCAGTGGGTGTGTGTCTGTCCATCATGTCAGTGTGTGTGGTCTGTCCATCATGTTCAGTGTGTGTGTGCTGTCCCATGTCAGTGTGTGTGTCTGTCCATGTCAGTGTGGTGTGTCTGTCGCATCATGTCAGTGTGTGTGTCTGTCCATCATGTCAGTGTGTGTGTGTCTGTCCCATCATGTCAGTGTGTGTGTCTGTCCATCATGTCAGTGGTGTGTGGTCTTCCATCATGTCAGTGTGTGTGTCTGTCCATCATGTCAGTGTGTGTGTCTGTCCATGTCAGTGTGTGTGTCTGTCCATGTCAGTGTGTGTGTCTGTCCATCATGTCAGTGTGTGTGTCTGTCCATCATGTCAGTGTGTGTGTCTGTCCATCATGTCAGTGTGTGTGTCTGTCCATCATGTCAGTGTGTGTGTCTTTCCATCATGTCAGTGTGTGTGTCTGTCCATCATGTCAGTGTGTGTGTCTGTCCATCATGTCAGTGTGTGTGTCTGTCCATCATGTCAGTGTGTGTGTCTGTCCATCATGTCAGTGTGTGTGTCTGTCCATCATGTCAGTGTGTGTGTCTGTCCATCACGTCAGTGTGTGTGTCTGTCCATCATGTCAGTGTGTGTGTCTGTCCATCCTGTCAGTGTGTGTGTCTGTCCATCACGTCAGTGTGTGTGTCTGTCCATCCTGTCAGTGTGTGTGTCTGTCCATCACGTCAGTGTGTGTGTCTGTCCATCCTGTCAGTGTGTTGATGTTTTGTGTATTTTCCAGACGGCTGCTCTGAAAGGAGACGGCAACAGGGGGAACCCCTCCCCTCACTCCCCCAGTGAGATGTTCCAGGGAGTCACTGTGCTGAAGGCTGTGAAGGTCAGTCGTCATAGTACATACAATGTGACCTGTGACCTAAGATTTTCATCGTCATAACTACACTTTATTAGTCAAACTAGCTATGTACGTATGACTAATAAAAGGCCTTGAACCTTGAACCTAATGAATTATAATTGTTGGAGTGTTGGATATATTGATTTTGTATTACTTAACATTTATTTTATGCTGTTTTGATCATAATATTCGTGATATTACGTTTTGTTCAGAGTCATTTGATCATTATATTTGAGTAGTGTATCATTATTATATTACAGTATATCAGTGACGTGCGGTGAGGTTCATGGCTGGTGAGGCACTGACTCTTTCAGAGTCAGATTTACAAATATTATATTTTGACCTTAATCGAAATGTTCGGTTATTTTCAAAAGCTTTTTTAGTCTGATGTTTCAATTCATTTTAAACAGACCGTTCAACAAAAGGATACCTAAAATCTAAATATTGGATTGTTCTTTCTTAGTAAGATCCCATGTTCATTACAATTGGAGTCTTACCTTGACTTGAAGATGAAGTCCATGCTCTCCTTCTGGACAACAATCTCTATTACTTTTTTGTAAAAGTCCTCCTTATCTTCCTCTAGTTTCAAAAGTCTAGTTTGTTGTTTGGGTCTACCTTCTCTGTGTAGAATAACAGTAGCAACAAGAACCTGTGGGCTCACGTTCACCCCCTTCAGTGCGGCAGAGGTTATGGCTGCCTCCCCTGATGCTTTTTTCATTGCCGTTGTATGATGAGACCAGCGAGCCTAAATATCATATATACGTGAAATAAGTTATTTAGAGACTATGGATGGCGAGGATAAATGTAATAAAGGGATCTACAAACATTACATTGGTGACATACAGTGAGATGGTGCAGGCATGCGCTTAGGGCCCGCTTTCCAGCCAGTTTCTGTGGGGTGACGCATTCTGAGGTGAGGCAGAGCTCATCTGTGCCTCACCTCACCACACAGTAACTGTAATAAATCACATTTACAAGTTACAACACAGATCAGTGGAGACATTTTATTATTACTATTTAGTTTTTCTTTAGTTGTTTTTCCGTCACATTGGAGTATGACAGGTGAGGCTCTGCCTCCCCTGCCTCCCCTGACTGCACGTCGCTGCAGTATATGTATAGTTGAGTTAATTTGAGCAGTTGTCAATGCTTTTGTTCTGGTAGACAAGTGAAGCAGAGGTTGAAATTTGTCTTTTTTTAACAAGAGAAAATAGGCCAAACAAACCAAATTATTGCCTGGCCACAACGGACTTAATACCTGTAAGATGCGCCAAAAGGTTCCTCAGTTTTTAGCTTGAGGACAAATAGCTGCTACATGAAGACCTGTGTTGTTTAGATCGTTGTAGATTTGCTTAAATAACGAAACGTTTCCACCCCTACAGCTGGGTCAGGAGGGGGCGGTGCCTCTGAAGAGCGCTCGGCTGTTCTTCGACGTCAGCCAGAGGGTGAAGATGACGTTGGAGTCGTACTTCGGTCTGGACGCTCCGCTCTACTTCTCCTACTCACACCTGGTGTGTCGCTCCGCCATCGCTGGTGAGTCCAACACCGGGGTCTCGTCGTTCTCCTCTGTGTTTACTGGTGGATCACAACATACATTTTGATGCTACATACTGCCATAAACTGTACAGGAGTGTGTAGATGTTGCTCTTTAGATGTGTTATAGTGGTCTAAAATGTTCTATTTGCACTGTTGTTTATCAGAGAAGCAGGAGGAGCGAGAGGACCTCAGTCACGCTGTCCATGTGGACAACTGTCTGCTGGTCTCTGAGCTCAACGAGTGTGTGAAGGAACCTCCTGCATACACACATAGGGACTTCAGGTGAGCACACACACACACACACACACACACACCCACACACACACACACACACACACACACACACACACACACACACACACACACACACACACACACACACACACACACACACACACACACACACACACACACAAAGCTACAATACAGAGTCTATACTTCAGCCAGACCACCCTGAACTCCCAATGTGTTTGCCTGCAGTGCCATCCTTTATCTAAACGACGACTTTGAGGGAGGAGATTTCATTTTCACCGAGTTGGATGCGAAAACAGTCACGGTAAATATTCAGTTTCTCCTTCCATAAACCTTTTTCTTTCTTTTTCTTCTCTGCTATTAAATGTTGCATCTTCATCTATGTTTTCCGGTCTTCTCCAGGCGGAGGTGCGTCCGCAGTGCGGCCGGGTGGTGGGCTTCGGGGCGGGGAAGGAGAACCCCCACGGAGTCCGAGCCGTCACTAAGGGTCAGAGGTGTGCCGTGGCGCTGTGGTTCACTCTGGATCCAGTTCACCAGGAGAAGGTGAGAGCCATATCTGGACCAGCAACAGCATAACTGGGAATACATGTGAAGTTGTAGTTTTTACCAGCAGCATCTGTTCAGTTGGCCACTAGAGAGCGCCATAGCTTCACAGAAGAAAAAGGTCTGATTGGATTCAATCAAATCAAACTTTATTTATATAGCAATTTTCATACACAAAACAGAAAGTGATGCACAAACCAAAGACAAACATTATACTTCTTCCCATGTAATAATAACAAGTTACACATAACTTTGTAATTGATATAAAAACACTTAATACCAACACAAGTAAATAAACACAGTACTGAATAAAACAGGAATACAAATGTATTAATAAAATAAGAAAAAGATAGAAAAGGAATACAATAAGAATTTAAAGACGTATAATAAATACAACTTAATTAAAAGCCCACCATAGGCCGTAATAATAAAAAGACGCCTCAACGTTGGTCTTTGTTTTAACTTTACGTATAATTAAAACTTGAATATGACTATGATTATGACATAGGAGATCTTAAAATATAATGCACAAAAAATGCATTCTACATGATTCTTGATTGGCTAATTGAATTTCCTCTGAAACATTTATTTGTTCTGTCCCGTAGGAGAGGATCCAAGCGGAGGAAATGCTGAGGATGTTTTCTACACCTGTTAATGCTGAGTTCATGCAAAAGGAGGTGAGCGAGACCCCCGAGCCCCAGCAGGCAACCCCAGCCCCCGCTGCACAGTTTTCTGCTGACCAGGGTTTCGTGGAAACAAAATCAGACGATAAACCAGCGGAGAAGGGACCGGACGCAGCAGCTGACTCTGAAACGGACAAAACAGAGACGAAACCGGTCAAAACTAAAACAGACACCAAGGCCAAAGCCGCTCCTAAAGCAAAGGCCAAAGCCGCTCCTAAAGCAAAGGCCAAAGCTGGAGACAAAGCAAAGACCAAGACGGCAAGCAAACCTGCCGCCAAAAAAGATGGAAAACAAGTTAAAACACAAGCCAAGCCGGCGGTCAAAAAGGACGCCAAGCCGGCTGCGAAAAAGACAGTGAAAGCTGCCGCCAAAACAGACTCAGAAAAAGATTCTGAGAGCGATAAGCAGGAGCTGTGATCGCTCTGCAGCTCGGACTGTCTGTGTGCTGTCTATATATTTGATAGGGCTTTTCTGCGGGTGGTTGAAATGAAAACAGGGTGAAAGTTTGAAAATATTGTTCCACTGTCACTACAATCAGTATTTGACAATCACTGAAACCATCCTTGTTTTTAATAAATCCTTACAGATGGTACATTTTTACATCTTCACGTGCAACCCTGAATTCTCTCCATGTTATTTTATTTGTCATGTCGTGATGTGAGGTAAATATGAGCGGACATGAATCCACTGTGTGAACATCGAATTAAAAGTGATGTTTTTTTAAATGTTCTATATTATTTTCTGACGCAGTACTCCAAGCCCCAACTACTGTTACTAACTTCTATCTGGACACAATTGTACTTTACTTGAATATGTCCATGTTATGCTACTTCACACATCCGCCACTACATTTCAAAGGCAAATATACTCAACTACATTCATTTTACTTTCACTATTATAGTCTTTGGACATATTAAAACATGTGAGATGCTTGTATGATATGATGTGGGTGGCTCCACATTGACAAACTACATTAAAATGCCCTGACATTGAATTGTTAGTGATAAAAACAGGAACATCTAATGATATAAAATATTGTAAAAAATCTATTCAAGTCATCCATCTATGTTACTATAATCATTACTGTACAACAGAACACATGAACTAAAGAAAGTGGAAACCATAAAGCAGATTCAGGCAGTAGAAGTATAGATTCACACTTAAAGTATTATCCTACAGAACAGAACAGCTGATCCTTTACAACAAACACTCTTTGGTTTTTACTAACATGGTAATCCTGGTAGTAATCTCCAATTTTGGAAATGCACCAGTAATCTGTCTTCTTTTAACTTTACAGGAATACAGTTGCCTTTTTTTTTATCCTGATGATGTAATCCTGTTCAATGTAATCCATTACACCACAAGTCTGTTTTCACTGCAGTACTCCAACTCCCCACTGGGTGTCAGGGTGGGAACACTGTTCAGTAATCCGCCTCACTAACTGCTTCTTTAACAAACCATAACAAATTCACTTCTGAGAAATCCTCAGGTAGTGAACTTCAGGATTTCGGGACGTCCTGCTGTGATTTGATTTCAACCTGAATAATTCAAAGGCCAAGTGCTCATTGTTCTCGTGAAGCTCAGCACTTTCATCCAGCTCTGTCGCATTAAAAATCTCAGCGCCTGCTTGGGAAAACGAACTTGTCTGAGTTTGAAGTTTACTGACGTTTCTGTTTTCTCTGTGGACGCTGCTCCTGGGAATTCATTACATTTAGATTGTTGCTCTCTTCACACAATATACACAGTTCTTTCATTCTCAAACAACTCCACAGAGATCGGACTGAACATTTGAACAATGGAAATGTACTCAATAACATCACATTGTATGTTTTCTTATTTACATATTTTACACTCCCCCCCCTGCCTGAAACGCCTCCATTGGACTCCTGTGTTTACTTCAGGAACATAGTGACATCACAATGTAACACTCACGCTTCTATTGGCTAGCGCTCCAACACATTGTAAGTGAGAGGCTAAGGGGCGGGAGTCCCAGTCTGCTCTGATTGGTTAGCTGCTAAGAGCGGCGGGACTTCTCTTAGCAGTTGACCAATCACAACAGAGCCGGTCAGCTAACTAACCAATCAGAGCAGACTGGGCTCTGGTTTCAGACAGAGGGTGAAATGAGGTGCTGCAGCACAGGCAGTATGATAAAAGTAAAGAGCTTTGTGAACATTAAAGCAGGGAGACATGTCCCAGTAGAGACACTACATACTGATATGAAAATGAGTGTAAAGGCCGCTACACACCAACCAGATGTTGGGAGTCAGAGGCAGTCGGGCATTCGCGGCGCCCTACTTAGGTTGGTGTGTCCCGCACAGTCTATGGTCCCGCACCGGCGTCTCTTTACGGCAGCCAAAGAAAGTCGGCCAAATAAATCACTCTGATTGGCTGTTCAGCTTAGCGAATCAGTGCATGAGAAGCGAAGCGGAAGTGAGGGACCCAAACAAACGATTAAGAAGGCACACACAGACGGCTAATCTTTTTCATTTTCATCTCACCCGGACGCAAGAGTTTCTTTTTTATGTTGACATGTTTTCGATCGACGAGAGAGAGAGTGACAATGGAACCCAGACGCTATTTGTTGTTTGTTTATATCACGCAGTCTGTTCTGTCTTCCTGTTGTTGCCTCGTTTGAATGACGAATACACACTACCGCTGCCTGCCGGGAAGGACAGTTATTGCCACTCGTCAAATGAAGTTTTTGCGGTGGAGGCGGGTAGCGTAGCCGACGCAGGCGACGTAGCGGACGTAAAAATCGGGACGCCTTCGGTACGCGTTCTTTGGTCTCAGGTTGGTGTGTAGCGGCCTTTGTATGGCCCCTTTAAAGAGCTGCAGATTTGGTTGATATGTTTCTGTAGCTTCTTCACTAAGAGCTTCACATCACATTGTTTGTAAGTTATTGCGTAGGCTGCTATGACGTTTGAGTTTTGTGAAGAGATGTCTGTGTAGGTTTAGCATGTGGATGAAGTCATTCCGACACAGACAGGCCATCTGGAGCGCGCGCACACACACACACACACACACACACACACACACACACACACACACACACACACACACACACACACACACACACACACACACACACACACACACACACACACACACACACACACACACACACACACACCACACACACACACACACACACACACACACACACACACACACACACACACACACACACACACACATCTGGGGTGCATTTAGGGTAGCCGATATAATAAGCCTGAAACAGTAATACGAGTCTTTCAGAGGGGCAGCACAGAGGACCCCTCTGCTGCCGACATATGAACACACTGCGTCAGTGTGATTCAAAGGTTTAGCGAAACATTCTTTCAACTCTGTTCAAACACTGCAGTGCGAGCTGACGCAGAGCCTTTAACTCTGAAACACATGCGATGCAAATCTACACCCACTCATCCACCAACACACTCATACATGAACTGTGAGTGTGCATATTTAAACACACATGTAGGCATCCTGTTAAAGAATTTGCAACAAGTCCCATGTGGATTTACCTTCAGAGAATAGCCAATTTTACTTTTATTGAGCGTGTCGTGTGATTAATGTGAAGGGCAGATGGACTCAGCTGTCATGCAACTCCCAACCTCCTACAGCGCAGAATTCATGAACAGGACCCCTCTTTGCTGCATTGTGTGTGTGTTCTTGGTGTGTGTGTGTGTGTGTGTGTTTGTGTGTTTTCGGTGTGCGTGTGGTGCTCTGTCAGTGCCTTCTTTGTATCTTCTTACTCTTGTTTGATTGGAAGAGAAAGAGAGAGAAACACACACAGGCCACTTTGTTTTTGTGTACTTGTGGCCTATGGATTTGACCATTGTTTCTCTGCAAGAGAGTAGGAGAAAAAGTGTGTGTGTGAGAGGGGTGGGGTGGGGTCAGAGTACAGTAGACAACAGAGCTCCGTGATTGGTACAGCTGTCTCTCACTGTTCTGCCTACAGCCGCACCACATTTCAATACATATTTATACATTAATATTATCTTTATTGCTCCTTTTTTAAACACAAGACATTGTGTAAGTGCATTGCTATAGGCCTGTGTGTGTGTGTGTGTGTGTCGTCCTTGTAGCCATGGGGATGGGGTGTGCATGGAGACGGAGGTGGCAGGTTGGGGTCAGGCTCAGCGGGGTGCAGAGCTGAGATTAACTGTGACTGTGACTCCGGAGAGAAGAGAATAAAACAGCAGGCGATGCAGACCGACATGACCTCCATCTCTCTGAAAACCTCCGGCTACCGGCGGAACATCCAAAGGAAACTTTTTATTGTCCAATGTTTTCTTTCACTGGCTTTCACTTAACTCTGTAAACTATTGCTCAGCACTCTGGGAGATGTGTGTGTTTGTGTGTGTTGAAAGTACATTTAAGTAAGAAAGTACTGTATTTGAAGAGGCCCTATTATGCAGTTTGAGGTTTTCCCTTTCCTGTAGTGTGTGGTTTGTATGCATGTAAATGGTCTGCAAAGGCTACAATCCATGTGTTCTCTCAAAAGGGAGTTTCTCTCCCACACACTCCCCCCACCCCGCCCGAAATGCCTCCATTGGACTCCTTTGTTTACTTCTGGATCATATTGACATCACTATGTAACAGTCTTACTTCTATCGCTCCAACACATTGTACATGGCTAAGGGGCGGGACATCTCTAAGCAGTTAACCAATCACAACAGAGCCGACCAGCTAACCAATCAGAGCAGACATGGGCTCTGGTTTCAGACAGAGGGTGAAAAGAGGTGCTGCAGCCCAGGCAGTATGAGAAAAATAAAGAGATTTTTGAACATTAAAGCATGGAGACATGTCCCAGTAGAGACACTACATACTGATATGATCCTGGAAATGTGCTTAATGGGGCCCCTTTGACCTTTGTACCTGGCCGTACAAATAGTCAGTAAAGTTAAATCCACCTTTAACAGCTGCAAATGAAAATGATGTACACGTTCATAGATTACTAATTATAATCCAGAGAAATTATAAAATGGCCATAACGAATATTGAGCGACTTTGATCAAGTATGATTCTGGATGCACAGTATTTCTACACTGTACTTTTACTTAAGTTAAAGATCTGAGTACTTCTTCTACCACTGGCTATCAACCTGTGCTGAGGGCGGTATTTTGACAGGGATTGGGTGTTTTAGGCCCAAGAAAACACTGTTTCAATATGACAAATTGATCAACTTGACAATATATTAATCAATCAGGCGATCCCTCTTGAGGACTGTGATGTTTGGCAGAACAAATCAAACTGTAGCCGTCAGTCGCATTGCTGCTGTCCGTCCTCTGGTCTAAAACCAACCTTGTGTTAGCGTGACAGAGAGCTCCATTGTTTGGCTGCTTGTTCTGATGGATGCCTGGCCGATGACTTCAGCTCCGCCATGAACTGTCTCCTTATTCTCCTATAGGCCCGGGATCAGAGCCGTGCCGGCCTGGGCCTGGGACCGCAGCTGAGGTGCAGTGAGATGATGGAGGAAGCCAGATCTATAGATTATAGGGACATACAAGTCAGGGAGGCGGTCATTAATGAAAAAATAACACGACAGGGTTATCAGAATCCTGATGGGAAGCTTATTGCATGGCTACACACCAGTGGCGGTTCTAGAACATTTTACATGGGGGGGCAAGAGGTCATGCCAGGGTGGCATGGGAGGGCGGACAGTACGTGGTATTTTATACTGTATATAACCTATTTATTGTTAATTCATTCCCTAACACAAGTG